TCGTAGATTAAAAACATCTCTCCACCCTCGTCACAGTAGCCGATTGGTGATACCTAGGGGTGGAAATCGGACGGATCGGATCGGATTTGGGTGTTTTGGAAAATTTCCGATTTTTTTCGGAAGTCCAAAACGACTTCCGATTCCGATTCCGATTTTTTCGGAATTCAAAAAGTGATTCCGATTCCGAATTTTTCGGAATTTTCGGAAAATCGGAATTTTTCGGAAATCTTCATTTTCGTCATTTTCGGAAATTTTCGGAATTTTTTCGGAATTTTTCGGAATTTTCCCAAAAAAAAAAAGGAAAGAAAAAGAAAAAAATGAGCACCGACACAGTAGCAAAACAGAACATACTCACACAAAAACACACAACAGACACCAAAAAAACACACAACAGACTCATAAATCACAAACATAGCTTAATTGGTCTTCGGAGAGCCGGGAGGCGCTGGTGGTGGTGGTCTTCGGAGAGCCGGGAGGCCTGGTTGCGATGGTGGTGGTTGGAGAATCGGGAGGCGCAAGTGGTGGTGGTCGTCGGAGAATTGGGAGGCGCTGCTGGTGGTGGTGGTCATCGGAGAGCCGAGATGCGCTAGTGGTGGTGGTCGTCGGAGAACCGGGAGGCAGTGGTGGTGGTGGTCGTCGGAGAAGGCGCTGGTGGTGGTGGGGGAGAAAGAAAGGTCAGATTGCTGAGAGAGAGAGAGTCGGGAAATTAGGGTTTCGAAGTAATTTTAATAAATTTTGAGTTTTTGACTTTTGTATATTTTAGAAAATTAAAAAATAATAATATGTCCAAAAATATATATATATATATATAAATAAAATAATTGGACAAAAAAATTAGTAATATACTAGTAATTAGTACAGGCGGATAGATATATACATATATTATATACTCCCTCTATGCCATTTTAATTGTCTTTTTGGCCTAATTCACACATATTAAGAAAACTAATAAATGTGCATGGATTATAGAAAAATCAAAATAAAATGACTAAAAAACCACTTTTATTAAATGTTTAACCATTAATTCTCTAAATAGTAATAAGGGTATAGTTGAGAAAACACAATAAATATTTCATTGGAATCCTAAAGTGACAATTATTTTGAAATGAAAAAAAATCTCTAGAAAGACAATTAAAATGGAATGGAGGGAATAATTTCGGATCGGAATAATTGGAAATAATCGGAAATAATCGGAAATAATCGGAATAATTTCGGATCGGAAATCGGAAATTCCGAAATTCTGTTATGTATTTCCGATTCCGATCCGATTTTTTTCGGAATTTTTCGGAAATCGGAATTTCGGAATTCGGAATTGAAAAAGTCGTTCCAAAATCGGAATATTTCGGATCGGATTCGGCGGAAATCGGAATTTTCGTTCCAATTTCCACAAGGATACCACGTGGAGGTACCTTAGCTTTGACACCATGTCGATTTTATCTAGGAACTCGCGCGCATCTGAGCACCATCGATGAACCCTTTGTACATGGTGGTGAATGCTCTTGTGCCAATGATGGAATTTTTGTCCAAGTTGCCTATGGCGGTTTTGATCTCTTCCAACGAGAAACGTCTACATAACCCCGATATAGAACAAAATTCATTGATGGCAGGTGTACTTGTACCCAAATCAAACTCCACTAGGTTTTACATTTCACGTAACATCATAAGGCACATTAAAGTAAGACCATGACAAGTTTGAAAATCAAGATATGAATAGTCAAGCTTTGTTTTTTTCACTATTTATCAAATTTGTACCTGATAATGATGGCGATTCATTTTACTTTAGTGGAAGCTGAGCAATAACCACGTTGCTATTAGTTTGTTCATTCGGATGAGGGGTGAAATTTTGCACATCTATAGAGAAAATTGTTGGTTGCCTCGTCTGAACTGATGAGCCATCTTTATCATCATGCGGAAGTTGAGCAGTAACCACATTGCTATTAGTTTTTTTAATTCGGAGGAAGGGTGATATTCTGCACATCTGTAGAGAAAATTGTTGGTTGTCCCGTCTGAAGTGATGATTCATCAGAAATAGTTGTTGCTATTTCCAAAGATTTCTCAAAAGCCAACTCAAGTTGTGACACAACTTGGAACATTGTTAACCGATTCTTCGGTTCATCAGATAAGCATCATTGGGCAACTCCAGCAAATGTCTTGAGGCTCTTTGGCGAAATCTCCTCTCTCAAACTAATTGATACGATTTGATCAGCTTCTCCCTTGTTAATCTTATCTTGTGCCCATAGGGACAAAACTCGTTCATCCTGTGGAATCATCAAATCTATTGCGGGCCTCCTACACAACACTTCTAACAACACTACTCGAAAGGCGTATGTATCACTTTTCCTGGTTAGTTTACAAGTGCGGTATAAATTTGGATCGAGGTACCGTACCCAAACGTGCCTTTAACGTTCGTGGTAATGTGGGTCTCTAACTTTGTTTTGTTTTCAAGCTTGGCCAATCCAAAATCAGAAACCTTGGCTATGAAATTTCCATCAAGTAGTATATTTGAAGCCTTTACTGTTGGGAATCGGGCACGTGTACGCAGCGGAAAAACAAAAATTTTATGCGAATTAAACGAATTTAAATCACATAATCACATGCCCGACAATTATTAAACAATTAATTGCGTACCTTTGCGCTTTCAGCGAAAATTAAAAACGACAATCATGCAAATTAATTTAATCGACAGTAAATCAATTAGCATGCTCGCAGTAAATCATTTAGCATGCTCGCAGTAAATCATGAATTTCATATAAACATAAAATACATATTAATTCACGAAACATACTACGAACATGGATAATTTAATCTAATTAAATTAAAAACCTAACGAATGTCAGATTCGAGAATTGACCTCTTGAACCGTGAGGTTGGCGCGCAAATCGAAACAAGACTGCCACGGAAACCAATCCGTGCAGTCGGGGAGCGACGAGGACGAAGCTGCGGGGGCGGCGGTGCTAGCGACGGCGGCGCGTGTGGATCACGCGCTGTCTTCGAGCGGCGCATGGGAGCGCGTACGTCGTCGGTTCGGGGCTGCTCCTCGGTTCTTCGACTCTTCGATCTTCCTCCTCTCGAATTTTACCTCGTATACTTCGATCTACTAAATACGTGGCACTAGACACGCAAAAGTTAGAATAGACGGAAGAAAAGAAAAGAGAAAAGAACTACCAAGATCTATTCGGCGCAAGTGGCCGATTCCGGCGGCGACGACGGCGGTGGCCGTGGGTGAGATCGGCCGAGAGAGAAAGACGAGCGGCTAGGGTTTGTGAGATGTGTTGTGTGTTGTGCAAGACCTATAAATCAAGTATTTATAGTGTCTTGTATAAAATCCCAAACGGGCTGAAGTTGGACCGGGCCCAACAGGTTAAGTTCGTTAGTTTTTTTACTCGCTCTCTTCTCTCAATTCAATGATCGGAAAATTGTAACAATTACATTTTTGGAATCATTATAATATCCTCGTCATTACGAGTGTCGATTCTCGATTTCCAACTTTCTAAAAGTGGAAACCCTAATTCAGTGCACTTTCTAAATTTGGAAACTTCTCGATTTAGAAAGTTCACTAACATGTTCGCCTATTCTTTTCCTTTTCTTATTTTGATTCATAGTTCCAAATTACGAATGTCGGACTCAATCATATTGACTTCCAATCATGCAAAGATAAAACATTTTTATCACTGACCGTTTATTCAAAAATCTCGAGTGCACGAGCAGTGTGACCCTCGATGGTTCAGGTGTAAGCAAGCCGTGGGTCCACAACCCTTTGTGGTCAAAACTCGTCCCTTAGAGTTACAATTAAAATGAAGCTCGTTTCACCTTAATCACCCAACGAATCAAGATTGTCGTCTAGAAACTACGCGTCATGATTCCCTAGATACAAATGAAGTGCCTGCAAGAACCTTTTGATATAGCTAACGTACAGTACGATCCCTTCGATTCATATGTCCCGATTGAACTAGAGGCATTGGTTCATCGAGACCTCCTGAGTAGTTCAATGACTGTGCGATCGTTCTAAGTGCTGTAATCGATACGTGCATGACTTAGAGAATTGAATTCTCTAATCATCACTTAGTCAGCTCTGGCCCGAGACTTTAGAGATTAAAAACTATGAGAACACACAGGACATCCAAGACTATTCTAGCAATCGAATCCCCGACTACAATGCACAGACCTCCCACTAGATTTCGGACTTCACGAACACTGGCCCTTGGGGCGGTCCTCAGTGGAACTCAGGGAAAGGTCACGATACAGCTGGTCCTCTAGTGAAGTCACGGTGATGTCTAGGTCATAAGGACCAATGGTGTACAACTATACCATCGATATCTCTACTCGATTATTGAGAACCACTTAGAGATTTCTAGGGTGAGAGAGTTCAGTGAACTCATCAACTTACGAGCACCCACTTATGCATGCCGATATCACAATACCATTTACTGTTGAGATGCAGTACACATACACTAAGTGCTAGTCTCTTAATGGGAAAGGCCGATATCCTCATTGGTGGCGTAACCCTTCGACTAGGAACACATTTAATAGTTATAATACTAAAGTAAATATCTCACGATCCTAACGATCAATTACTAGTACTTGTAATAACAGTAAGGACTATATCTATGTTTGAGACAAATGAACAAAGATATAGAATGCCAAGGTGTTTTTATAATAAATACGAATTTTTTTTATTTATTACAAGAATAAATGGAAAGACCACAGCCACAAGTTGGCTTGTTGGTCACCTACTCTAACATTTACATCTCTATGTATGACTCTGTGCTATGTGTTAAGGTAATCTAGTCCTCGAGTAGCTCCAATGCAAATATGAAGGGATTGTCTCCATGTAAGAAAAGAACGTGTATTACTTTCCCGTGCAAGTTTGTAAATATGATCAGCCAATGTTCCGCATGGCATGTATTCATAAACAAGAATCATTTATCGTTGCTCGTTGCAGTAACCAATTAGAGAAACTAGGTTCACATGTCGGAGTTCAGAAAGTGTCTCGATTTCTGTCAAGAACTCTGCGCCTCTTGCTTGGAGCTTGAATTCAACCTTTTTACAGCAACTGCGGTTTGCTCTTTATCAATGCGGCCTTTGTAGACTTTACCAAATCCACCCCTTCCAATTACAAGTGTGTCACTGAAGTTTTTAGTAGCTGATTGTATCTTATCTAGTGAAAAAACGCGACAAAGACGTTCAACCCTCACCGATGACTTTGGCTTGTTTCCCTCCTCATCAGCATTAGGTTCTTGAATTTCCAGCAACTTATGAATGACGATACATAATAAATAAATTTTAGATATTGTAACAGTTACAATTGTATTTCTCTTAAAAAGAAGAAAGAATAAAGTTTCGACATCGTGGGATGGTGATTCCCGAGCTAGAGGCAATGGATTTGGACTAGCAAGACTATTATCAGAGTTGCTCAACTTGAATATTTCAAATCCCGACAAAAATGCATGAGCTCCTATAAGATTGTCATGCGACTTCAAGGAAACCAATATATCACGTTTTCCCTCATTTTTATTCCCACTCACCATCACCATGTAGTCCTTATACCATGCAATGCTATTTTCATCCATTCGGTTAACTACGTCCATATTAGTGTGAGCAATCATTTCATTAATAAGGACTTCAAACATATTATCACTAGTTCATGCAATCTTGAGCCCCAACTCTGATAGGTGAACCCTGATCAAGTACTTGAACCCCACATCCACCGGCATCTTCTTTGTGTTATTGTTTATTTTGTTTGCATTTCGGGATGCCCGGTTCAGAAACATGTGATTGTAATTTCCATCAGACTGAACAGAGTTTTGCTTAATTCTCTACTCGGTGGAGTATTTCAAGTGCAGTGTTGTAATCAAAGTAAACGAAATACTTCTCACCAACCAGTTGGAACCCAACATATCCTCATTTAAAGTAAGAAATACGTGGAGGTGTTGAGAAAATCTCAATGCCGTTTATGAAGTCATACATATCTAATGATCGACCGCTTTCATAAGAGAAAATCATGTTTAGCTGTTGATTTTCTTGTATGTTTAAACATAATTCCTTGGCGAAAGAATTAACCTTAAGAGCCTCAGCTGTGAGTGAAGCACTAAAGTTACTGAGTATAGAAAAAGGACCGGTTTCAACGGTGACTAAGTCATTGAACCCTTTAAAACATGTATATGAAGTGGGATTAAAGTGAAGACGGATAATTTTCTGACCTGGGCTCACATGGAATTCATAGGAAAACAGAGTCTTGGAGATTCTTGCCGTTTCGTGGGAACTGGATCAGAGATCAAATTTGGGATGACTGTTGAGGTGGTTGACGAGCCCTTCATTTGTAGTACGGAAGAAGATTTCGGTTGTATATCTTCAATCCATTCCCTGCCATTATATGTTGATGAAGAGCCTTTGGAACCACAGTTAATCGAAACATCGCCTGCGAAGTGACTCGGATTACTAATGGAAGTAGTGAGTTTGATGAGAATGAAGAAAAATAGCACAACATTTGAAAGTGGATGTGGATTCATGATGGGAAATTTGGGAGATAAATTTTTTTTCTTGTTTATTATTAATTAAATTTGGGAGAGGATGATCATTGCTGAGTTTCATAATCTAAGGTGACTTGCTAAGATGTTTTGGTGACCCATTCTATGCATGTATATACTATTATTGTTTGATATTTTCATTCTCAATGGTTTCGTATGATGGGTTGGCATCTAATTTGTCAACTTCTAATGAAAGGTATTTGTCCACTTTCTACGTTCTCAAGAGGCATATAAACAAATAGAAACTCGTGAAAGGTTCTTCTAAAGTGAACTTGTGAATCAACAATCTGTAAGAAAGCTACAACCCTAGAAAGAAGAGCAACGAGAGGTACCGAACCCTTCTTCTGGAATGTCTGATAGCCATAACTGCAAAAGCTTGCATGCAACAAAATATAGAAACTCATTTCAAATTGCATTCACACTAATTAGTTGGCATTTAGTGTGGTGAACCAAAAAAAAAGATATTTGAAGTAAAATCAAAGTATCTTATATATAAAAGAAAGAAACGCTGGGCAACCCTAAAAACCCCTAATGGTATTTCTGTAATTATTTATTTTTAATATTTTTTCTCTACTGATTTCTAACTATAATTTTTAACAATTATCAAAATTAAAACTAACCCGTGAAGAATCCTACCTTATTGCTACTTATGTAATTATTTATTTTTAATATTTTTTCTGTACTAATTTTTTAATTATAATTTTCAACAATTATTGATCTCCTAATTTTCATCAATATATCTCAAATCTTAAGAGATAAAGCTAGAAATTCAATATGAATAATACTACATTATTAAATTTTATTATATTAGTATACTATATTTTCTTATTATGTATTAAATTGATTATTTTTTTTCACTATTTAAATAATATCTTGTGCATCGCACGTGCATTGCACGGGGGAAAAATGTTAGTTAAATATAATAGTAATTAATGAAAACACAACACACATTAGCTAGGCCGAAATTGAAAAAAATGTGTTGAACTTAGAAAAATAAATAAATTGGTGTGCACCTGTTGATCTTTTCCAAAAGATAAAAAAATTAATAGAAAATTAACTAGAAAAAAATGGTTAAATGAATACAAGCAAGATAAGTTTTGCTCTAAAAGAAAAGGTGGGGTCCATTTTTCCTTTTTTACTACTCCTGCTTATAAACTACAAATACAAAAAGATACATAGATAAAGGTAAATAGTTGGATTTTTAAAAAAAATTATTAATTATTTCTCTTTTTCTTTTTTTGTGGGTCAAACTTTTACAAGAATTATTAAATGACCAAACTAGGCTCATGATACTTGCATTTATTGGGGAGCAATCCAGTACCCTTGTCCACACAACCAACACGTGTCCTTGAAAAAAAACAGTTTTCTCTCCTGGCTAAAAAAAATATGACAAATTATGATGATATCAAACAAGAACAGCGTTTGTATCTGAAAAATAACACACTCGGGAGAGAGGAGATCCGTCAGAAGTGCAATAGAAACAAAAACTGTATGCTTTGTCTCAAAAAATACAACAACAATATTGTCGTTGTATATTTTAGGGATTGCGTTCACTTATATCATTTTACTTGCTATGAGAACCAACGGATGACCACCGCAGCTGGGGTTGTGGTTAAATACTCTCTTGATCGGACCCCGCTTGTTATTGCTGGGTGTTTTAGGTACCTCTTAGCTTGGACGAGAATTCGATTCCTGATCCCTTACTGGATTCGGAACACGAATTACTCGCCGAGGAGACGCAACCTGAAGCCGAGGATGATGCGGTTGTAGCCCGTATCACTATGTGCGTTGTTTGTCACCGCTTTTACGGTGATCGTCCCGTTAGATTAATGGGAAAATATAATTGTATATACCACATCGACTGTTTCAATGCTGTGTTCCGTGATGCAAACTGTTTGGTTTACGTCGAGTGTTCTTACAACCGCAGGTCTGTGCCGCTCTCCCTCAATTAATTCTATTTCATTGCGTTGCTGGATTTTACATAGTGGGGCCACAGACCATATAATCTTTTATTCTACTTTACTTGTTCAACCACACACAACAAATACACATCATGCTAATTTACCCACTGGATCTACTGCTCCTATGAACTCTATCGACACCATTTTATTTAATTAATATATTTTTCTAAAAGATATTCTTTATGTGTTTTTTTTTTCAACTAAATTTATTGTCAGCCAGTAAAATCACTAAATCATTGAATTGTTGTATTGTTTTATATCCCAATTTCTATATATTTGCAAGATTTGGCTACGGGAAAGACGATTGGTTGGGAGTAAGCAAAAATAGAGGTCTCTACTTTATGTCGCTGGCTACCAAGTTCCCTATTGTATCTCATGCCCACACAAATAACCACATGTGGCACTATCGCCTAGGCCATCCTTCTCCAGCATGTATTCGTCAACTGCCTAAGTCGATTTCTTTTTTTACTGCATTTTTTAATAACATTTGTGAGATTTGTCTGCTTGCTGAAAAAGTTTGTTTTCCTTTTCCCTCTTGTAATATTTCTTCGACTCTACCTTTTCAATTAATTCATTGTGATATTTGGGACCAACATAAAAATCACACATTCAGGTGTTCATTATTTTTTAACGATTGTTGATGATTTCAGTCGTTGCACATGGGTATTTTTTATGACAACTTAATCAGATGCCTCTACCTTGCTCATCTCTCTCTCTACATTTATTCAAAATCAATTTAATTCAAAGATCAAAACATTTCGTAGTGATAATTGTACACAATTCATTTCTGTAAGAAAACTTTTCTTACCAAAGGTGTCGAATTTCAATGTTATTGTGTTCTACACTCCACAACAAAATGGAGTTGTCGAGTGCAAGGATCATCATATTTTACAAGTTGTCAGAGCTCTTCTTTTTAAATCCAATTTGCCTATTACTTTTTGGGGGAATGTGTGTTCACTGCTGTCTATTTAATAAATCGCTTGCCCACACCTAGGGGTGAGCAAAAAAACCGAAAAATCGAAAAACCGAACCGAAAAACCAAAAAACCGAGCCGTTTTAAACCGTACCGAATAGCAAACCGCATGTACGGTTTTTTATTTTTGAAATACCGAATTAATCGGTTCGGTATGGTGGAAAGGTAAATAACCGAACCGAAAAACCGAACCGAACCGAAACTATAAAATGACTTCATTTTATATAATATATATGTATTATTTTACCCTAATATTTATTTTCTATCTTTCAATTACTTGTCTCATTCTAAGCATTTGTTCATAAATTAAGACATTGTATTTTATTTATTTAGTAATTAAAAATTTACTTGAGTTCATGGTTTTAATAATGTGGTAAATGAAAGTAGGAAAAATAAAATGAAGCATAATACATCATCTATAAATTACGTTAAGTCCTATGAAATTAAAGATTTTATATTTTCATTGCATTAGTAAGTTGTGAAAGTAATTGTAATTGTATTATTTTGTTTGTACAAGTTGAATATATAGTTACGCTTGAACGGAAAAAAACCGAAACCGAACCGAAAAAAACCGAAACCGAAGGAAATCGAACCGATAAAAAACCGACATACACGGTTTTTTATTTTACAAAAACCGATATATTCGGTTCGGTTCGGTTTTTGGCTAAAACCGAACTGAACCGACCCGTGCACACCCCTACCCACACCAATTCTCTCCAACCTTACAACATTTGAAAGTTTATACAATCGTTCACCACCATATGGTCATCTTCGTATTTTCGATTGTCTATGTTATGCTACTATTGTCCAACCCATCACCAAATTTGAACCTCGTGCCAATCATTGTATTTTTGTTGGATATCCTACGAGCCACAAATGTTACAAATTATTCGACTTAACAACTAAGAAAGTTTTTGTTAGTCGAGATATCTAATTCCATGAAAATATATTTTCTTTACAACCAAACAGTCCACCTTTACCTAATTCTAGCCATCCCCATTTATATCCGATAATCCCACCAACACCGAACCAACTTCTAATGAGTTCCCTCTTGCCACTGAGTCTTCCAGCTCATCTCAGTCCACTTCTCCGGTCGATAACCTACCTGATTCACTTATCCCTTACCATTCAATCCATAATGAGTCAACATAAACTGAACCTACACCCATAATTCAACCAATAAGGATTTTAAACTGACCCGGACCCGGTCCGCGGCCATGTCTAAAATGGATGTTCAAAATGCCTTTGTACATGGCGATCTTAATGAAGAAGTATATATGGAGGTTCCTCTTGGTCTACAGGGGGGAGAATGTAGTATATCGGATCAATAAATGGCTTTACGATTTAAAGAAAGCTTCAAGAAACCGGATCGCCAAATTCTCTCAAGTCATTCAAAGGGCAGGATTAAATCAATCAAAGGCAGATTATTCTGTATATACCAAATTTGACGGCAATTCATTTACATTTGTTCTTATTTATGTCAACGACATTATTGTGACAGGAAATAATCAGCAATCGTGTAGCTAAGTCTGGTGGGCTAGCTTTATTATAGTAGAAGGAGATTATTATTGATTTGCTTAACGTCTCGTCAAATCACATTGAGGTCGTGGTCCTGGAAAACTCGTCCTCTCTGAAATTGTGTTTTTTCGGAATTTATGGATTCCCAGAAGTAGCTAGGCGATGTCAGATCTGAGATTTTATCCGCAATTTATCCACACCTTGATTTGCCGTGGTCTTTCTTCTCTATCTTTTCCTCCCACCAACCACGGCAAATTAAGGTGGGGTGGATAAAGTGCGGATCAAATCCCAGATCTGACATCGCCTAGCTACTTTTGGGAATCCATAAATTCCAAAAAAACACTATTTCGGAGATGACGAGTTTTCCAGGACCACGACCTCAATGTGATTTGACGAGAAGTTAAGCAAGTTAATAATAATCTCCTTCTACCATAACAAACCCAGCCCACCAGACTTAGCCACACGCAAGACCTTCACACCAAACAACCCCGATTTTCTTTTCAGGTTATCCACAAGCATAGATTTTGCCTTCATTTACGAAAAAAAATCAGCACGGGGTGAGATTTTGGAAGGAAACCTCCGAGAGAATGAGTTGTAAAATGTGCCTCCAACCCCTCACAATTCCAGCTTAGGCAAGCTTTCGATTAGAGATGACCATTTGACCCACCCGGCTCTGAAAATAGCGGATATTACCCACCCCGAAAATATAAAATAAAATCTTCGGTGAATTCATAATATAGAATTTCGAAAATTAGATCAAAAAGTTTTTTGTCAAAATTAAAACAATTCATATTTAAATCGACGAAATTCAGAAATTCGATTCTATTTTCTCCCATAATATCACCCATATCCCATTCCATTTTTGAATTTGAAAGCTAACCAATCACCAAAACAAAATCATCATAAATAAATTCAAACAAAGAATCAAAGACTTGAATTACGCATTAAATTAATTATCCTGCACGTGCCCAAAAACTTTCCCCCACAGATTGATTCCCCACAAAAAAATTGTTAAAAAAAAAAAACACACACACGCATTTCAGCGCGCTCCTCCTCCTGCAAAAATTCAAATCCAAAAAGTCCACATTTTCAAAATACATACGCACACCATTTTTTCCCTCATTAATTTTGCGTATCCAGATTGACACAGAGAGGATAGTTCGTCCAAACCCTAACAATTTTCACATATCCTTAACAAAAAAAAAATTAAAAAATTTGCGCCATTAGTTCTGTTTCGTCAAGAATCTTATGGGTTTCAATTGATTCATTGTCTGAAGTTTCAATTTGTGGTTTTTTGTTCAAACCGCCGCAAATTAGAATCCTCGAAGTGGGGTTAGTAGATTTTTTCACCATTTCTTTAATTCAATAGCCAGTGTTGAAGGTTGACGCCATTTACAAAGTGTGCAAAATCCCTTATTGTTTTCTTTGGTCAATTTTGTATTTTTTATTTTTTGTTATTTAAATTTGTGGTGGGTTCTGTTCCAAAGGCCGAATTGGAAGTTTTTTCTTCAGTTGTTAGTACATTCATGGACATTCAATCTTTAGCAGACGATAGATCTGAATCAAAGGTTTGGTGTTTTTTGAAATTAGTGTCAATTGTTTTTCTGCATTTGTTGTTTTTGTTTTTTTTAATTGTTTTTTTATTTGGTAGGATTTGGCAGCAATGAAAAGGGGCACTATGGAGGATGAAGAAACATCTCGAACTTCTCACAAAAGACTGAAATCGTATGATCTTCAATCCGTTTGTCCCGTTAAAGGTTCGAGTTTTTTGCCTTTCTATGGGTTTCGGTTTCGGTTTCGGTTTCAGTATATCACGGTTTCATTAGTTGTTTTTTTTTTGTTTTTTTCACATAAGGGATCCCTAAGTTTTGGTTAATTTAATGTCGAACAATTCGATTTCGATTCAATGGAATGGTAGGAATATTGTTCGATTTCGGTTTCAGTTTTGGTTTCAGCATATCACTGTTGCATTAGTTTTTTTTTTTTTTTTTTTTTTTTGGGGTTTATCATATAAGGATCCCTAAGTTTTGGTTAATTTAATGTCGGACAATTCGATTTCGATTCAATGAAATGGTTAGAATATTGTTCGTTTCTTTTGTCCTTCGTCGAAAAAAAAAAAATAGATTGGAGGAAGAAAATATTCCCCTCGAAAAGACTCTGAGAAAATTGAATTTGATGCAGAATCAGCCAAGGAAGCCAATAACCGAGGGCTCGATTTAGATTTAAACGCGGAACAGGAAATGTCTAGTTCAATCAACAACGACCCCTTGTACCCTGTCAAGAATTACACAAATTTGAAGTTGGCCGATGATTCCGAATGTGGGAGCTCTGTGGGCCCGCTCGACTCATAAAACCCAATGAGAGTTTGGAAAGGGTTGAAACAGAACAATTTCATGTCGACTAATTACGGAGCTTTGCCGAAGCCAATGCCAGTGCCAAAGACACGCGGCAGAAAGAGAATTAACAGTGATGCAGCTGTAATGAAGAAGAAAATCGAACAAGCGAAGAAAGAACAAGTCGATCGGTTTGCAAAAGTTGCTGCTCCTATTGGTTTGCTCAATGGCCTAAATCCCGGAATTATTAACCATGTTAGGAACAGTAAGCAGGTTCACTCGATTATAGAGGCTTTAGTTAGGTCTGAAAAAACAGAAAATCGGGGTTCGGGCAAAGGAGATATTTTGCTTGAAAGAAGGCAGATGAGGGAATATTCTTTATTTTCGAAATCGAGCTATGGTGATTCTTATATGGGAAACGAGGACGATGGGCTTGGTTTAAAGCTGTCATCTTCTGTAACTGTTGCATCGGAGAATAACACTAGCTGTTTGTCGAACGAGGAATCGGGTAATATTAACAGTGTCACTTCACTTTCTGTCAGAGGTTTGTTTTAGTTCTTTCTATTGTATTTATTTATTTCCTTATTTTCGTTGTTAAATATGAACTTGTACGAATGTGTCTTGTTTCGATTTTTCAGCCGCTAATGTTGCTTCACAGTGGTTGGATCTTCTGAATCAAGATATCAAAGGACGACTTGCGGGTACGGTTTTTTTTTTTTAATAATCCTTCTATAAATTAAAAAAGAAAAGACGAAAAAAGTTATAGTATGTGGTTAATGTGATAAAGAAATGACTCTTAAGAGGGATTTTTTTTATACTGTTTGCAGCATTACGTCGAAGTAAGAAAAGAGTGCAGGCGGTTATTACCATGGAATTACCACTTTTAATATCAAGAGAATTCTCGTCCAATCACGACAAAGAAACCGCAGATGTGCATGCGGTTAGATGGAGTAATATATTCGGACAGATGGATCAATCACTTTCCGAAGAAGAGAGTCATTTGGTGAGTTCACATTGAGATTTAAGTGTCTGAAATAAATTATATATCTATATCATTGAATTATTGTTTGATTTTTCTTCACTCTTCCATGTGATCGAATTCTCGTTCTTTTTTTGTTTTCTTTTTATTGTTGTGATATTTCTGAGCTGTTGATATTATTATCAGGAGAATTGGTTGAACCAAGTGAAGGAAATGCAGTTGCATTGTGAAAGAGGTCTTTATTCACAGGATATGGATCCAATTGGACACTCAATCAAAAATAGGTAAATTATCTTTATTTTGTTTGTACGCGGAACAAGTTAGTTATATTTTGGGGTACATGACGATCACCCCGAGGTACTATCAAATTACGAAAAAACCCCTCATGTTTGGATAATTACAACCAGCCCCTCAACTGTGAATCTTATTACACATCCATCCTTACCGTGTCAAATTTAGTGGAATATTCTCCAGCTTGTATCTGTTTTAACCCATTCGAGCTCCATATTTTGAAATAAAATGATCATAAGATGTATCTCTTGGCTTATAAATATCAGAGATTGTGGTGCATCAGAAACTGTATTTTTGCGCAAAATGCGTACAATCTAGAGAACATTCCACGGAATCTAGAAGATTATGTTAAATTTGACACCATAAGGGTGGATGTGTAAGAAGATTCATACTTGATGTGTGGTTGTAATTACCCAAACATGAGGAATTTTTACGTAATTTGACCTTATTACCTCGGGAGGTTGGCCGTAATTTACACTATATTTTTTAGTAAATACGCTATTTTTTTAATGCTGGAAATTATACGATATTTTGAATCGACACACGCAGCATTCGAAACTATGCACTATAGCAATTTTAGTTGAGCTTCGAATCCAAAGTTATATCTGCACCGGTGTTTCTTGATTTATATACCTAATATTATTTCTTTTAAATTAATTCAGATTAGGAGAAGGCCATCATAACTCAGGGAAGGGATTAGCAGTTAAAGCAGCAGCTGCTTCAATATATTCAACTTGCAACTTCTTCTTGACTGCCGAAAACCTACCTTGTCGCTAATTATCTCGACAATGATTGGAGCGAGAAAACACTCGACGTAATCTTGGTGAAGTTCTTGTTAGCATTGGCAATGGCATTAGCATACATCAATTAGTGTTTTTTTTTAATGACTATAGACAAACTTTTCTGACATTTTCTTTTTATTTTCTTACTACTTACAGTAGTTACTTACTACATGTGGTGTTGTTAAATTTGTTAACATGTAACTTTAGATGCTGAGTTCAATGGGGGGTTTTAACCGAATCTCTGTTTATGCAGCTAATAAAATAAATAGCTGGTTTTCTACTTTTCAAGTTTCTCTTGATAAAAATGTTGCTAAAATAAATTCATAATATTTACCAATTACCAGTGTTCTAAAAATTGGTCGAGGTGGTCAATTAATCGGTCTTCGAGGCGGAGGCGGTCTAAAGCCTTTTAAATTTTTGGTATAAAGGTTTGAAAAAACGGTTTTTGCTTGTGAGGAGGTTTGAGGCGGGCTGAGACACGCTGAGGCGGTCAAACTTTGGTCGCAAAATCGGTTTATCTTTTTTTTTTTTAATAAAATATTGTTTTTTGCTTTTTACTCAAAAATGAGTTTATGCCTTGTTTTATTTTTTAAGTTAATTTTTATTTTTAAAGGACCAAATGATATATGATATATGCTTGCAATGTTCAAGCATAATTTTGGATGCACAACATTTTTGTTTTATTTTTATTATATTATGATCTTATTATTATTAAAATTTTATTATGTAATTATGATATATATAAATGATGGGGATAAAATCACGTTTAAATATACTTTTATGCATGCTTTGAGTATTAACAAATAATATTTAAAAAAATATATTACATAAAATTTGAAAAATCAATTTATTTTTGATTTATTGCCGATTTCACCGCACCAATTAATGGTGAAATGCTACCTAATTAACCGCCTGATAGCATCTTCCACCATACACTATATCCTTTTTTTTTTTTTGAGTAAATTCAAGTTCATTACAAGTAGGAAGTAGGGGAAGGGGCAGGGTCGGCCCTGCAGTTTTGAATGCCCTGGGCAAACACGACAAAATGTGCCCCTAATAAAATAAATTAACGAAAAAGAGTACCCGGTCGTTTATCATTACAAAAAACAGAAAAAGAAAAGGTTCATCTACTAACTATTTATCTTCTATAAACTAAAATTTTATAGCCGAAGAGCCACCATTTTGTCCTTCAAGTAGCTAATTACCTACAAGAATAAACCAGTAGTTAGATGAATCATAGAAGATGTCTTCGAGTTGCACATTTAGAGGCAAAATCATCAATGATATCATCAAATTGAATATTTTCCAACATATCTTTTTCAAAAATAGATAAAATTGCTAACGCATTCATTCTACTTTGGGTCATTGTGGTACGCAAGTAGGATTTTAATAATTTCAATTTTGAAAAGCTTCTCTCGGCAGATGCTACAGTTACGGGTATCGTTAACAATATTCTATAAGCAATCATGACATGCGGAAACATATCCATCTTTTTTACAAACTCTAATATTTGAATAGCGGCCCATGATTTACTTCTATCATATGATTCATTTGGTAACATCACTTGTAACACTTCTAATTCTGAACATAAACATTTTGCATCAATATCAGAAGCATCACCATGTTTCAAAGCATTTTCAAGTTTCACACAAGCATTCATCAAATCACCATCATCCATTGAAATCAATTTCGTAACATCAAATAAGAAACCAAATATAGATTGCAAGTATTGCAATTGTTCAAACCTGCTCTTCAATTGACCTATAGCAATATCTACAATAAAAAGAAAATAATCAATTCTAAAAGATTCTTCGGCAGATTGATTTTCTCTTTCATTATTAGAAACCTCATCGAAGTTTCTTTTTCTACAAATTTTACGTTTCTCATGAAAAAGAGGTTCAACTTCTAGTTCGTAAGCTATGTTTTTTGCCTCAATTATGGCAGAAGCAAACCCGTTTTCTCTATATAATTCAAAAAATGAAAAAAGTCCGACCAATTGTTTTACAGCAATGTCAAGACGCATGTCCTCGGATTGTAATTTTTTGCTGACTAAGTTAATTTTATGCAAAATATCATGCCAAATCACCAAACTTAAAATAAATTCAAAACTTGAAAGTTCACCGGATGCTAAAGTTTCGGCATCTCTACTTAATTTCGCATCCTCACTGATTTCTACCAACTTAAACAAAGCTTCTCTAATTTTAGAGGCTTGAGTTTTTATTGCTTTTACATATTCAATATGACTTTCCCATCTTGTTGTAGACAGTGATTTCAAAGTTAATTCATCAACATACTCAAGCAAAACATTCTATCTCTTTGTAGAATTAGCAAATACGTTGTATATGCATTGACATGCTCCAAAAAATGATTTTGCTCTAACACACGAATTTGTCATATCACAAACAACTAAATTGAGACAATGAGAACCACATGGCATATTAAATGCTCTAGAATTAATATCAAGCAATCTTTTTTGCACACCTTGATGTTTACCTTTCATATTAGAGCCATTATCATAGCCTTGTCCCCTCACATAATCAATATCAAGTTCTAAAGATTGTAAAATAACTTGCAATTCATTGAAAAGCCCAAACCAGTTGTATCTTCAACATTCAAAAACTCTAATAAATATTCTTCAATTTTAATTGGAGAATTTGACATGTATTATAAGAGTCATTTGTTCTTTGTGACTTGCATCCGGTGTACAATCAAGAATTATCGAAAAATACTTTGCCTCTTTAATTTTTTTAATTATTGCTTCTTTGACTTTTGAGGCTAAGCAACACATCAACTCATTTTGAATCTTATGACTAAGAAAATGATAATGAATTTTTTTTTTTCGAATTAGTCTAAAATGTTCTTGCATTATGGGATCAAATTGCGCAATCATTTCAAGTATGCCCAAAAAATTGCCGTTGCCATCTTCGTAAATTTTTTCATGTGTACGACGAAATGCCAAATTATGCGTAGCAAGACATTTAACAACGACAATTATTCTTAACATAACATGCTTCCAATGTTTTGTATTGCTTTTAGTTTGTTCTTGTAATTCTTTATCAATTGTGCTATTTTTGTTCAATCTCATTTGTAGTTCAACACAAGCTCTTAAATTAGTAAGGTGTTCTACGCTATTTTCATGTTGTTTCAACTTGGCACCTAAATGTTTCCAATCATTCACTCCATCGGTTGCTAAAGTACTTTTGGTGTTCATAACTTTAAACAACTTACAACAAAAATAAAAAACTTTATCTAACTCCTTTGAGTAAACCAACCATTTTCTATCGCGAGTCTCACCATTCGGTAACATTTGAACATAATATGTATAGGAAGATCGTCTAGATCTTTTATCCATGGGAAACTTGAAATTTTCATCTCTTTTAGGACCATTTTCTACAAGCAAATCTCTCATTTTTTTATCTAGACCATCCCAAGTTCTTGGGTCATAAATATTCAAAAGATAACTTGGTTCTTCATTCACATCATTTTCATTCTCATTAACATCTTCATTAGAATTATTTTCATTTTCTAAAAGTTCTTCATTCACATAATTTTCACTCTCAAAAAATTCTTCACTCAAATTATTTTCATTCTCTAGATTATGAGTTGAATTTTCTACCGTGACATTGAACTTCTTACTCCAAAGTTTTTTAATTGAATCTCTTAAACGTTTATCCTCCTCTTCTTCGTTTTTCTTTTTTTCTCGTTTTTGACATCCAGAGAGTTGTTTCATGATTATAATATATGATTCAATAAATTTATTGCAACAACCAAGCCAATAACGCCCAAACAACAACCAAGTTCAAAGAAAAAAAAACTAAAAAAAAAAAAATTCAACAGTTAACAAAGAAGAATAAAACCTGATATTAGCAGATTCTTCTCAATAATCTTGACCCATGCGTTATGCCCTTGGAGGAGTTGATAGTTTGTTGGAATTGGACAATTATATTGCTCAAGAATCAAGATTAATGGAGAAATTGAAGAAGCCCTAAGCAGAAGCTCTAAGCAGGAAAGAAAAGGAAATTAATTTGGGTCTCTCACCAGTAAACCTTGCAACGTCTCTTTCTCTTTTTTATTTTTTATTTATTTTTTTCTTTTTCGTGCTTTGGGCTGAAATTTGGGCTGAAATCAATTTTGGGCATGTATTTGGGCTAAAGTTTTCAAAATTGTTTAGGCATGTATATATAAAAAAATAAAAAAAATTGGGCCCCCAGGATAATGGGCCCTGGGCAGCTGCCCCACTTGCATTGCACCAGGGCCGGCCCTGGGAAGGGTGGATTCGAAGCTTAGACCGTTACTCCACTAGGTACCAGCTCTCCTAATGAGGGTTGGTACACCTTTTTTTTTTTTGATCAGTACACCATATCCTATTTATTACGCATAATTTAGGTATTTTTAGCCTCCCAACTTAAATCACTAAATCACCATTACACCTAAAATTATGATGATTTGGTTTTAGAGCCTGTTCGGCTAAGCTTATAAGCTCCTAAAAACATCTTATAAGATGTTTAGGAGCTTATAAGTTGTTAAAAGGTGTTTGGTAAAAAAATTGCAAAAGATCTTATTTTTTCCAAAAATAAGCTATTAGGGAGCTTATAAGATGTTTTTAAAAAAGTACCTCTACCCCACCTTTTTTCTTTAGGATCTATTAGATATAACCCCCTTAAACATTCAAATAATAGGGGTAGACCCAAATTTATATTTGCCATTTTGATAACAGCCCAAATTTTTCATAATTACATAATTACCCTCAATCAAATCCCACAAAACCCGTTACTTTACCTTTTGAAATAAAATCAAATCCCTTCCTATTTCCCGTTAAATCACTATCATCCCAAACCCACTATCGAATAAACTGCAAAACCTCCCATAACAACTTCCCGGTACGGCCGATTGAAAGGGAAAGACGTCTGCACTGCCGTGAAACGACGATTTTCTTGCACTCCGAGCAAGCTGTCGTAGGTACGTCGTCGCCACTCGCTGGATCGCTATCATCCATCGATTTGTTGATATGTTTTGGCTAAATCGACTATCACGTTTGTGTAATTGCAGATCTGTTATAATCGCATACCGAATTCGAGCACTAAATCAGTGATATTGCAACAATTGATGGGCAGGACATCCACCAGAAGTGATATCGTCGTTGGCCGCCGCCGTCGCCGTCGTCGTCGCCGTCACTGCTCCAAGTTAGGGTTACTCAAATCTAGGATTACTCAAATCTAGGGTTTTGATAATTCTTCGGCCCATAGTTGATTAACGAGAAGCATAGTCGACTTACATCTGTATTAATATACTATCCCATATCATTTAATAGACTATCTCACTGGTATAATTTTACTATGGATCTCGTTAATCGACTATGGGCCGAAGAATCATCAAAACCCTAGATTTGAGAAGTGACAGCGGCGGATTTGTGTTTTAAAATTAATAGACTATCTCATATCTTTTAATAGACTATCCCATATATCTAATTCGACTATGGGTTTAGTTAATTGACTATTGGAAAAATAATAATATATATGGAAACTGAATAATATGTGTGTTTGAAATACTAATCAATTAGGGTAATTTTCCTTATTATATGAAAACGATTAAGGTAAATAATAATACATATGAAAAAATAATAATATATATGGAAACTGAATAATATGTTTGTTTGAAATACTAATCAATTAGGGTAATTTTCCTTATATCATGTAATAGACTATCTTATTGATCTAATTCGACTATGGATCTCGTAATCGACTATGGATCCCGTATTATTCAACCACATAGTATATTAATAATTTCAATATAGTACATTGATCTGCTATGATAGTATATTACGGTTATAGTAGTGATATGAATTGTGTTACAAACAATATACCACTGAAATGACAAGAACATTGAGAACAACACCAACGTAAAGTATTTCAACATAACCAATAAAATAGTACATTAATAATCCCATAATTTCAATCTAGGGTTTTGATAAAATACATAAAACACATCATAACACAATCAAACCAATATGTCGAATTATAAAACTCTAGTACATTAATAATCTCATAATAGTATAATAAAATGATAATGGTAGTATCATACGGTATTCATAATAGTATACTACTGTATTACAACGGTTTAAAACTTAACCGAAGTTACCGAGCCAAGATACATTCACCAACGCCTTCCAGCCTATATGTCATGCTTATATCCTACCCATCGAGTTGTGGCCACTTTGAAATAACAAATGCAACCAATGAACCGCGAGTAAACCCATTCGAACACCTCTTTATAGCAACCAACCCACCAAATCTCAACAAGATCCGTACAAAATTCGCCATCGATAAAAACCTTGAATCATGATACGACATTTAAAATGCAGAATACTAAAAAATATATTAATATGATCAAAAATAAACTTAAAATGCAAAATTCATACGATAACTTAAAAAATACTACGAAATATATTTTAATGTACTACCCATCGTCCTAAAATCCGCTGTTATAAACAAATAAACCAACTATCGACCGGGATCAGACTCATGAACTCCACGACAGCGGACAGTTATTTCAATTAATGCGTAAACCAACTACGATGTTCATATAAAACAACTCTGGTCCGATATGCGTGAACCATCCTCATCTAACTCTGTCAATCCTCTTCCAAACAAACATCATCCGCCAAAAAATAACGATGTATATATGACGGAATAATTTTGTTAAAAAACGTTCTACTTAATAGAATCAATTATCAACACAACTCTTAAAAATTTCTAACCACCGTAATCGACAATCCTAGACATTGAGCGAAAAATAAAAACGAATAACGCATTCATACCCGATTAACAACGTCCAACAACGAACGCGCAAATTCGATCCTATTTCAACGACGGTGCAGAAATCTTCAAAGACGATAAAATACCGCTGGAATGCTGAAGAGAACCTTCGAAAAATATTGTACACGATTTGATATAACGGCCAATGATCTCACGTAATTTTATTCCGTGATTTTAGGCAACGTATCAGCAAATCTCAAATCACGTAGTAAAGGAAATAAATGCCGTTTAAAAATAAAACAGGGGTATTAAAGGCAAATTATATAATATATTTTGCCAAGTTGGCAAAATTGGGTCTATCTCAAAAAGGGTAAAAAAAATTGGATCTACCTCATTAGAAAATATGAACAAGGGGGTTATCCCTAATAAATCCTTTTCTTTAAGATCTTATTTGCTTCTTTACTAAAACACTTAAAATACAAAATTACCCTCAAATACTTTATTATATTACATGAATACTAATAATATTTATATTTTATCAAAACAACGTATTGTTGTAATCAAGATTAATAATTAGTTAAATATAATTATCGTAATTATCATAATAATTGTAAAAAAAATTATTCTCTATTTATATTTTATATGTATATAAAAATACACGAATATTCTTATTATCTCCATACTAAATTATATTTCTTTCATCTATAAAAAATATTATATTTCTTTTACAACTTTTATTTTATATTATTATTATTATTTGAAAAAATAATTTGTAAATACTATAATAATATTTTAGGAACAAAAGTATTTGAGTCAAATAAGTTTAACAATTATACTGGCGTCATGTATTTTTTGTCATTATAGCAATAAACAGACCTTTTATTTCCAAACACCTGAACAACTTATAAAAACAAAAAGCAACTTATAAGTTACATATCCAAACACCTTAAAAAATAATTTTTAAAATAAGATCTAACAGCTTATCAGCTCTTAAAACATCTTATCAGATGTAGGAGCTTATAAGATGTTTTAAATAAGCTTAGCCAAACGGGCTCTTAGTCTCCCATTGTGGCCAAACCATATATCACCATATTACCAAATCCTATATTTTCACTAATTTTTTTAGTGAAGAAATTTGCAACTCCCTCCCTTCCAACATTTTACCATTTTTTTCCACCAAATTTTATTTTTTCTATCAAATATAGAAATTAAAATAGGATTTGGTATAATTAACACCATTTTATAATTAATATATAAAATTATTATATTAACTAATTTAATGTGATTACCAATTTATAAACATATTTATAGTAAACATATTAGTGTTAATTAATGAACTGATGTTCATAAGATAAGTACATTTATTATTATGAAATGTTTTATTATTTTTTTTATAAATTTTGTTGTAATATTTTTATGTATTTAGCTGTGAAATTATTGTTTATATGTGGTCTTATAATATGTATAATAATTTACGTTGATTTTTATTCGTGTTTCAATAGTTTTTTAAAACTTAATATAATTTTAAGATTATATAATCAATAAAATTATTACTTATAATCAGATCTATAATCAATATTTTTGAAATTGAAATAGACTAAAATTATGATTAACATTAAATTTATAATTTTGTGATATATTTGGTGAAGCACCATGGAAGATCAAACCAAATGCTATTATCCATATATAGGAAATTATAAAATATTATTATTTTATTATTTGGTGTAAAATTTGATAGAATTGGTGGAAGACCAAATACACTATTTATTCACCAAAAGTAGTGAAATTATAAAATTGTGTGCCAATGGTGGGTAATAAATTCATTTTTTCATCACCAAAAAATAGGATTTGGTGAAAAAATAGTGATTATGTTGAAAGATACTCTGAGACCTGATATTCCTGCCTTTTACAACCTTGCTATATAGTGAACAAAAGATGTGTACATACAAACTTTACTTTTCAGATAATATAAACATCATATATCAAAACTTTCTATTTACATCTTTAAAACAACAAAATATAATAATTTATAACATGTTCACATCCCCCTATCTTCACCATCAGATCATCACTCAAGTGGCAACCAACACCTCTATAATTTACAAACTCTGCCACTGCGCGACAAATATCGACGGGATAAATTACACCGGAGATGCATTACAAGCACAACAAATTAGATTAAGTTTAACATTTTAAACAAGGATAAACAATACACTATATAATTCTGTGATTATTTCACTAAATGTAATTAACCCTATAACCAGTCGGGGGTTGTCTTTATCGGCATTGCCATTGGCTTTGGAAGCGGATTCTCTGTAACTTTATCTAACGACCGATACTGCAGCTTCACACTTTCTGCATTGTCCAATGTCTTCACCACATACCTATATTTTTTTTTCGAATAGGTCGAACAGAATAATTTAAAAAAGATTCCCCGCAAAACCCAATGAGAAAAAAAAAAACGAGTAATGGGAGAGATTTACCATCCGTTCAAGCACTGAGTAGTAACAATAGCTTCTCTTCCAACAAACCGCGGAGGTGTTCTCTTATTACCCTGATTCAGTTATCGACAGTTAGAATCTTCCACTTATGCCTGGTTTGGCTCGGGAGATTAGCCTTGATTAATTAAATAATTAGACTTTGCTTGATTTTTAGTAAACCCAATAATTTTCCGGGTCGACCCGGAAATATTATTTTATCATGACCTATCTGCCCTTTTAGAGAGATTATTTGATGGATCTTGGCTGATCTTATCATAGAACCAAACAAGACCTTAGTTCATAAATTGATACACAAGAGATTTTGATATTCTAAGGAAAAACCTTTATGATAACACGATCGGATACTGCAAATGGAAACTGAACTCCTCTTCTTCTGTGGTGATCCGTGAGCATGGAATCACTAATTGTCCCCTTGTGCTACACAAAATCAAATAAAAATTAAATTAGACCCAAGTACGGCATTGTTTGGTAAGATTAGTTAAGATAAGATTAAGCCAAGATGTTTGCATAATTTAAGGACGGCATGAAACATTTATTCATTAACAACACACATCAAATAAGACCTAATTAGTTAATTAATTGTGACTTACCTTACCAACCAAACGAGGGGTAAGAGTAAAAAGAAATCATATTGGTTATAATCATATGGGGTAATCTGATTGAATTCTTAAATGAAGTTCGTTTCATTTTCCATATTTAATTTATTTACCGAGGCAGAATTATAGACGTATGACTAACCCGATCATATCTTTCTCTTCTTCTTTTCGACGTATGGTGAACTTGCAACTCATCTTCCCTCCTGAATGCCTGGACAGCTAGGCGTAGAGCTACATACAGCAAAGTAAAAAAAACCGGAAGTAATTAAGAAACGAGAAAATTATTTAGTTCCGGAAATGACAAACGGATTAGCATCTACACTAAATATTCAAGTAATTCAATTTTTAAAACATTGGATTTTTCCCATGGTAGTAAATAGACAAATGGTGTAGTTCTTAAAAGAAATATATCATAAATAAAACTCAAAAAAAAAATTCAATAAACGAAATATATTTCAGCTTACATAGATTTGGAGCAATCATGTCCGCCGTCACCGGTTGCGAGCACGTAAAGCAAGCTTTCTGAAAATGAATTTAATAAAATAAATGGCTCATCGTGTAATTATTAGCTCCAGTTAAATAAGAGTGCAATTTGTATAACCAGTAAGGTACTCCCTCTATTTCAAATTAACTGTCGTTTAAGGATTTGATACATGTATTAAGAAATCTAATAAATACGCATGGTTGTTAGAAAAAAAAAGTGCATAAAAGGACTAAAGTACCCTTTCCCGCTAAAACAGATAGGAACTAATACTGAAAATAAGTAAAATTGCTGAGTTGATATATAAATGAATTAAACTGTAGTAACTCCATTTGAATATACTTATCCAAATATTTTTTTAGCATCAACAAGTAACATTATAGACTTCGACAATCGAAGTACTTCTAATAGATTGGAAAATATACCAAAATTCCGTACGTAAAATTACTATATTCATATGAAATACGATTTACCCAACTGCAGAAATATAGTTTGAAAATGTCACAAATGAGGATTTATTTACTGGTCTAATTCATTAAATGTTGCTAATTGAAAGAATTTAATGAGATTTTACGGAAAATAAAGTTTCCCATAATCTTTTATTTTAAAAAAGTACCGGTTTGGCGCTATTTTATACCGTAATCTTGATTTAAGTTTTTGCCCGTATATTTCAACTTTTTTAATCACATAACTTAACAAGTGTCGAGATTTACCAAGTTCTCTTGAAATTATTTGAGATATCAACAAGAGATGGTGACGAGTAGGAATTGATCAAATACAAAACGAGGAATCTCTATTAGCTGCCGTGTGAATTTACTAACCAGCCCTTCCAAAGCATGCATGCTTCCTCAAAAAGTGGAGTTAAATGCAAATTTGAAGAAGTTTTTTCCTACTAATATATAGATCAATCATCATAAAACTACTCCCTCCGTACAGTAAACCTAACCCTTCTCGATACTTACCATTCTAATGATTTGCTGTATTCCACCACTACCAAAGGAATGTCCACAGGGCAATATCATGGCATCTTCCATAAGTGTTCCTCTGTGAATGGGAAATTAAACACGAAACATTTATAATTGAAGTTATTATTCGTTCCACCAAAATTATACCTCGACAATATAAACCTTAAAGAGCATGTTCAGCAAAATTGTCAAAGGATATTATCTTCTATCTGTTGTCTTTTCCCGTGGAAAGTAAACAATCGATATCTGAATAACTACACTAGTTTTACCATGAAATTTGTTAACAAACGGTGTACCGATGACATAAAGACATCCTCATTCAGGGATAATTAGCGGGAGGGGCCACTAAATATAATTGAAAGCTTAGTATGAAAAAATAACTAATTCTTGATATTTTCATCAATTACTATCAGATACGCTAAGCAAGATCGAGCTGAAACCCCAAGTCCATTCGGAGATCAAACGATGAACCAATTTAGGACAAAATTGAAGCATTTATTAAAAATCGACGTGAATTTTTTTAATGAAAAAACAACTAGATAGACATGAGGGTTAAAAACCATACGTTATAGGATCCGACAAGATAGCCCTCAAAGACTCCCCGGATTCACTTAGATAGAATCCTTCCTTATTTCCACTAAATCCGCAACCGCTATCGATCAACACAACATCCTTCTGCCCCGACGAGGAGCTGGGACCCTCTGCCCCGTTTAAATACTGCGAGTAATAAATTTCACCGCTGCTTGAATTCCTCACTTCACCGCTCTTGTTATTGCTTTCGTTTCCATGGTGTGCCATATTCCCTTCTTTGATACCTAAAAAATACAACAGAAATTTTATTTAAAGTTCCATTGAATCAATACAGAATTCAATGTACTTATATGGAGAAGAGACGAAAAAAGGGAAAAAGATCGAATCTTTTTATAACCTAATGCCGAAATGTGCTTCATTTTCTGACTATTAGCGTTGGCGCTGTATCTTTCCTTTTGATAATTGTCACTGATTTTAGCGACGGTGACAATATTCTGCAAATTGTTCCCAGCATTTTCTTCCTCGTCATCGTCGTCGTCGTCGCCATCGTCTTCGTCCTCCAAATCGTCGTCCTCCGACGCGTCTCCGCCGGAGCTACGGCTGTTCGCGCTCCATTGATGGCGGAACTGGCACGGCTGCGGCGGCGGGTGCTGCTGCTGGGGCTGGGACTGAAAATAGTTGTGGTGATCGAGGAAGCTGGCGGTGAGCTCTCGCGTGGCAGCTTTAGGACCGGGATCACCGGCGGCCGCGGGACGGCGGTGCGGCGGGTGTGGGCCACACGAGAAAGCTTCCGGGAAAACCAGCTGCGGGTGCGGGTTGAGTCCGTTGTGAACTTGTTGAGGTGGAACCATGCCCAACTTTTCAGAAGCCATTAAAGCTAGGGTTTGAAGGGGAATTGCAGAGGGGGGGAACAGAGATGATGATTAGGGCTAGTAGAATTGGGGGTGGAATTGAGGTGTGAAACGACGTCGTTGCGAACGAATTTCAGGTGGTCTGCTGTTAATTAAGTCATCATGAAGAGAGAAGAATGAAAGCGCAGAAGCATTGACCAGAGGGGCAAAGGTCAACTGCCCCCATTTACTACCCTACCACTTATTACACAATTTGCACTTAATTTGTTTGGATTTTTCTTTTAACATAATCCTTTGACTTCTTCCTTTCATTTATTATATATTCTTTTCTTCTTTGTTTTACACACTACTTACTTTATTATACTAATATTTTTCGATAATACAAATCTTAAAAATTAAGTGTGGCAAACAATTTTGTATTTTCTCTTCTTAGATTGTAAAATAAAATTATATCCAAATGGTTGGTCTTGCAATCAATTTTCGGATTCTATTTCTTGATTTTGAGAATGAAATTAAGAAATAGCTATATGTGACATTTATCAATAAACTATATTTGTTTAATTGCGTCCGAAAAAATTAATATTTTTGTTTAATTCTTGAAAAAAATCGATCTCGAAAGAATAACAATAAAAAATGGTGAATTCGATTAACAGTTTGGTCGGCCGCCGCTGGAAATAATAGTGTAGGATGTGATTAGGAATGGATCTAAGCAATTTGTGATTGAAAAGTATTGAGTTAGAGAAAAGGTAAATTACACATTTTTGTAAAGGTTAGATGTAATTACAGTTGGGCTGCATCAAGTTTGTAAGATTACGCGAATTTTTCTTCATATTTGAATTATATTAAAAAAATTAACCCAATTTTTAAATAAAAAATGGTGAAAACGACTAATAGATTGGTTTGTCGCCGTTGGGAGTAGTCGTGTAGGATGTTATTAGGATTGGAAAAGGTCGTTCAAACCATTTGTGATTGAAAACAATTGAGTAAGAGAAAAGATAAATTACATACATTCTCTGAGGTTATGTGTAATTACAGTTGGATCGTATCAAAATTTGAAAACTACGCGAATCTTTCTTAACATTTAATTTGTATTAAATTTATGAGCTAAATTCAAAAAAATAAAAACATTCTTACTCTTACGAAATAGGTTCTATTAACTGCAAATTACATTGAACTTCCAATAAAATAGATTTAGTTACTTTTAAACCCTCTAAACTCTAAAGTTTAAAAAAATGATCATAACTTTCTTTAAAGTTTAATTCCAATCGACATTTAAATCTATTCGATCATTGTTGATATGTTAGAAATTGATGATGATTGACTTTCCATGAGGGTCAAAATAACTTTTGGGTGCTTGTATTGCCTTTTTTTTTTATAACTAAAATATAATGTTGTCAAAAATAGACCTGCTATGGAATCGGAGGACCATTTTGATCATAATTTCATAGGGTCCAATCGGTTCAATCTGGTTTTTTGATCTTTCAAATATGCAATTATTTTATCAAGTTTAATGTTTTATAAATGCGAATTTCTTTATATTTTTAATCTTCCACTTGTCATTTTCACTTTTATATATCTCACGCAACTTTTTACTATATTTTTTTGTTTTTTTTTTTTTTAGAAGAAAAAGCTTGCAATTTTATTCAACATGTTTTTCAGCAGATATAATGTTACATATTGTAACAGGAAGATCCTCAAGAGCAAAATTTTCCATTTTTGACAAAGCTGCTATTTCATGAGCCACTTGATTTGCCTCTCTGAAAATATATTGTATCTGAAAATGCTCGAACCACTCCCTTTTCCGCTTAATATCCTCAATAATATTCCCGTACGTAGCTTCGGAGATTGCAGGTTCACAAACTGCGCAGATAACCTCCATCGAGTCACCTTCAATTACAATCCTTCTCCAATTATTTGTTCGAGCCATTTCGACCGCCATGAATGCTGCTTGAGCTTCTGCCGTTGCGGTATCCAGAGGTTGTTTAATGCAGCGAGAGGTCCATCCCACACACTCACCTAAGTTTGTCCTTGCGATAACTCCTATACCACATATCCCATCTACCTTGTTTATGGCCGCATCGAAATTTATTCTCACAACATTCATTTCCGGTCGAGCCCATCTTACAACACCTTTGTTCGTTCGAATGTTTGAGTTCAGCACTTCTGATGTAGCATTCCACAAATCATGCCAATATTTAATAGCAAAACTCACTGTTTCCTTAGCTGCCATGTAAATGCCTTCGAACAATATTTTATTTCTAGTATGCCAGATCGCCCAACACATAACTACACATTTTCCAAGAACCTCCTTGCCCGCTTTCTCCTTAATTTCCAATATCCAATCCAGCATAATATTAGTTGATGTATTATATATTGAGAAGGGTACATCACTTAAAGCCCAAATTTGACGTGATAATGAACAAAAGAATAGGCAATGCTTTACTTGTTCGCCTATGCAATTGCAAAAGATACATCTTGATTCATCTACCTTTCTTTTCCGCAGATTGTCTCCGGTTGGTAAAAGATCTTTGCATGCTCTCCAAAGAAAGATTTTAACCTTACTAGGAAACTTTAAGGACCACAACCATTTCCAGTCCGCCGCAATATTCACACTCGAGCCACTACCATGACGATTTTCTCCATCAACAGCCTTTTGTAGAGCCAGGTGATATGCACTCCGAACTGAAAATCTCCCATTCCGATTATAATGCCATATATACCGATCCTCATTTCTCCCGCTCCCTAATGGAATGGACAGTATAGACTCACAATCTTCCTCAAAAAATAATCCACGGATAAGGTCGTCGTTCCACATCCCGTTTTCCAATATCAGCTCACTAACTTTCATATCCATTGGATGATCTCCTCTGGGGGAAAAAATCTGGAATGTAGTTTCTCGTGGCAGCCATCGATCCCCCCAGATATTGGTTGAACGTCCATTCCCGATCCGCACACGAGTACCTGCTTCAAGAAGGCTTTTTGCACTCCATAAACTCCTCCAGGTGTATGATGGGTTTGATCCTAAAGTGACTTCGAACAAATGTACATTTGGATAATATCTTGCTTTCAATATTCTGCTAAGCAAGCTCTCCTGGGTCACGAACAATCGCCATAATTGTTTTGCAAGTAGAGATGTATTAAATGCCTCTAAATCTCTGAATCCGAGACCACCTGCTCTCTTGCTTTTGCACATTTCTTGCCACTTTATCCAGTGAACTCCTTTGCCGTTAGACCCTTCCCACCAAAACTTAGCCATAAGGCTTTTGATATCTCTCATGAAGTATTCTGGTAAACGAAAGCAGCTCATTGCAAAGGTTAGAATAGCTTGAACAACCAATTTAAGAAGAATTTCCTTACCGCCCCGAGAGAGCCATTTCTCTTTCCACCCTACAAGTCTACTGCATATTTTTTCCTTAATGTGGCCAAACACCTCTCTTTTGGATTTTCCTACAATTGCTGGAAGTTCAAGGTATTTTTCATGCTTATCCACAACTGCCATGGGCAAGAGATATTTAACCCGATCAATATTTTCCTGTTTTGTCCGTTTACTAAAAACGATACTAGACTTTTGGAAATTGACTTTCTGGCCCGATGCTCTCCCATAGATATTGAGTATATTTTTAATGCTTTTCGCGGACTTCTCATTTGCTTTACAAAAAATCATTGTATCGTTTGGCAAATACAAGATGAGATATTGCTGAAGCACCTCTGCAGATAGTGAGGCCATCTAAACAGCCCATATTTTCCTCTCTCCGAAACAAAGCACTCAAAGCTTCGGCACAAAATAAGAATAAATAAGGTGACAACGGGTCACCCTGCCGAAGACCTCTCTCTGGGCAAAGAGAACCGAAAGCGCCCCCATTCAAAACAAAAGAATAATTAACCGTACTCACACACTTTATGATTAAATTAACCACACGGAGATCCATTCCCAGTTTGAACAACATATTACGGAGAAAAACCCACTCAATGCGGTCATACGTCTTACTCATATCTAGCTTTACAGCCATACTTTGCCCCGGACTACGCTTCATGTAATGTGCTACTTCATATGAGATAAGTATATTGTCTGTAATGAGCCGAGAAGGTACAAATGCAGATTGAGAATCCGAGATAATATGATTCATAAGAGGCTTCAATCTGTTTACTATTGCTTTAGCCGCAATCTTATAAATAACATTACTCAAACTAATAGGCCGGAACTGAATCATGTTATCCGGATTCGCACACTTTGGAATGAGTACAATATTAGTAGAATTACATGTCGCCGGGAACTCCATATGATTAAGAAACCTCAACACCCATTTTGTGACGTCTTCACCGACAATATGCCAGAACTTCTGGTAGAACAGTACAGGGAAGCCTTCGGGTCCAGGTGCCTTTAAAGGGTGCATGTCGTCTATAGCTCGTTTGACGTCTGAGGCTGAATATGCTCGTGAAAGCTCCATAGTCATAGAATTATTGATCCGCGGCTCAATGGATTCTAAGACTTCATTCAAATCCTCATTCGTCGGATTTGAGGATTTAAACATATCTCGAAAATACTCAAGTCACAATACTTTCCAACTCATCGTCTTTATCGCACCAAATTCCTGCTAAAATTTTCAAACCCTCAATCGTATTCTTCTTTTTTTCTAGCCGAAGCTCTCGCATGGAAAAATTTGGTATTTTTGTCTCCCTCATTTATCCAGTGAGCTTTAGCTCGTTGTCGCCACATCATCTCCTCCTTATCCCGGAGATCATCTAATTTCTCACTCAAACTCTTGATTTGCTGACACGTTTCTTCGTTGAGAAGGCCCTTCTTTAACCGAAAAATTTTCTCTTGAAAGGATTTGATTTGTTTTGAGACCCCTCCAAAGGAATTTTTGCCCCAACTTTGCATTCTTTGTTTGCAAACTTCAAACACACTTCCTAGATCATTGAGCTCGCCAGTGGTAGAACTATTCCTTCAAGAATCGCCAACAAGTTTTTCACATTCTACTGACTTTAGCCACATTGCTTCGAACTTAAAGCCTTTTTTTCCTCCGGCTCCTACTCACTCCGCCCCGGCTATGGAAGTCAATCCGAATCGGTGAATGGTCTGAATTGAGGGCCTCTAGATGTGTAACCTGATACTTTGGAAAAAGGCTTTTCCAATCTGGTGTAGCACAAGCACGATCAAGGCGTTCTTTGGTTGTATGTGGGTAACCTGTGAAGCCCAATCATCCAACCTAGCATCCATTAAACACCTACTAAAGTCGTGGATATTATTGAAAGACGCTAAGTTACTGCCCATTTTTTCAGAAATAGCAAGCATTGCATTAAAGTCTCCAGCACATAACCACGGTTTGGACGAATGTAAAGCAAGTTTTCTTATCAACTGCCACATCGCCTCATCCAGATCCCCGTAAAATCCCGTAAATCGCCAGGTAATATTTGCTACGTCGTCGTACACATGTACATCAATATGATATTTCGAGCAACTCTGTAATACCACTGTCGTATCCTTTGTCCACAGAAGGCCAAGGCCCCCGGACAACCCTTGAGCATCCACTGCCACGCCATACAAATTAAACTTCCTCTTTATGAACTCAAATTTTCTTGCTGACATTTTAGTTTCTGAGAGAAAAATGAGTTGGGGATTATTTTCTCGGATGAGATCCCCGAGTGTACGAACCGTCCGAGAGCCCCCAACCTTCGGCAATTTCAAACAATACAATTCATAACACACGACAAGGCAGCCCCGCCATATCTCTATTTAGGTTGGCCATAACCAATTCGAAACAATAGAAAAATCTGTAGATGATCTGATAAAGAAGCCCTATGGAGAGCAGATCAACCTCAAACCCGAGCCGTCACAACTCACGCCAAACCCTGAGCAGTACCCTTTCACTGACGCAATAAGAATCCAACAACCATAACCCTACTATTAGATCTGCATAATTATTAGAGGAGAGATCAAAAGAGATCAAGGAAGAAGGGGATATGAAGAACAGGGGGACCGCCTCTCACGAAGAGAGAAAAAATAATTATCAATTTTTATTTTATTTTGAAAAGGCGTACATAAGAATACTACATTTTTTTGTTCATACTCTATATTTTCCCATTTTTCAAATCCAGCAATCGTCCACACTTATTTGATCACCTATGACCATATCCGGCAATCTTTCGACCACTCATAACTAGTCCCGACCACTCACCACTAAGCCCGTGATGGTTCGCTCAAATTTGGCCATAAATAACAAACTTAGCGGTCATTTGAAACATTTTGACCGAAACACGAGTCCCTTGACTGACTCACCAGTTCTCGGACTTTACCCGATCGAACCAGATTTTGGTCATTAACCCCCTTTTCAAATTATTCGATTCGGTCCGATTCTAACAACACTGGTGTCCGAACATAGGGGGTGGTTACCCTACAGGCCAAACCCCAAAGTTTCGTACTTGGAGAGAGAGAGAGAGAGGGGTTCTTCAAGAAAAGAATTTTTCGGTTGGATTCGAATTCGAGCCAACATTCGAATGAATACAGCCGTTGACGCGTTCGTAATCCTCAATTAATCCGTCAACGTTTGTTGTCTTTGTCTCTTCTTCCACACCTTTTCGCTTCACCCAATTTCCATGCAATTTACCTCCCACTTTGTACAATAATGCCAATGATCAGAAGCGCTGTTATCTTCATCCAATTCCAATTCCAATTCCAATTCAAACCCTTATCAGAAATCCTACCGCAGAATATTCCGATCTTCGAATCCAACACAATCCGACCCAATTATGGATTCTTCAAGTTTAAGGATAGCCCTCCTTGTAATAATCTTGATTTGCGCCGCCCCATTTCAATCAGATGCATCTTTTCTTGAAAATTTTCGAAAACTAGCAAAGGGTGATCAGGTAATTAGAAGACGACCCAATCACCCAAGTGTACTTTAATCTTTTTATTTATGTCAAATGTTTGGTTTCATTCATATATATAGATATAATCATGGGAAACTGTTTGATTTGTAATAAATAGATGTCTCCTTCGCCTAGCCCTGTTCAGGCGGCGAATTTACCCGAGAAAGAATCTTGCGACGAGGTGCCCGATAAGTGCGATATTAAGGATTTCAATGTCACTGCCTGCCTCCCTTTTGTCGGAAACGGTAAATGTTTTTATTTTTCGTATGGTTAATGTAAGTTTTTGTGTATCTTGGTAAAGCTATTATGCAATCTCGTGTACTTTGTGGTGAGTATTGTTTTACGCTAAAGATAATGTCGAGCGTTATTTGATTCCGAAATGCTTTCTTGTTTGTCTTGTTTAAGTTGTTCGTTGCTCGAATTACGCGAGACGAATGCTGTTTTCAATAGTGGCAGAAGTTAATTGCATTCTGCTCTAAACTCTGAGAATCTGCAGCGTAGAAATCGAACGTTGGTCAATACTTTTAAGGGTAGAAATTAAAGTATTTTGTTTGCGTCGCAGGTTCTCAAGCTTCGTATATGCTTGTCCTAAACGGCGGTGAGAGTTCTCGTAAACTGAATATTGTTGTCGACCCTGCAAACATTACCCTAGAGGAAATAGTAATTTCCGGACAACAAGTTAAGAAGGTATTAATTGTTACCGCATTTTTTATTTCGTCTCCGATTTTGTCAAGTTCCTTTTTCTTTTTAGCATCTAATTGTTTAATAGACTTGATAGATCTTGATTAGTTTACTAATCAGTACGAATTACTAGTAATCGAACAATTTGTTTGATAATGGATCAACCCGAAGAAGGCTCGATATGGTATCCATTAATGATGTCAAACGAGCCCTAATAAATTTCAAAGACCACTAATTTGCTAGCTCCCGTTGAATCAGATAAATTTGCCACCAAATACGGGAGGAAATTCTTCAATCGCGCTACATGTCGAGAACAAAGAATGCGTAATCCAGATGGGAGCTTTGTTACCTCAAGGCTTTTTTTATACGAGTTATTTGAAACCTATTAACGGAACATACCTATTTTTCGTGGCTGCCGTTTTCCTTGGAGGAATTTGGGCATGCTGCAAATTGGCGACGAAAAGAAGGCGGCATCTCAATGGAGTTGCGTATAAAGAACTCGAAATGGAGGGCCCCGAAAAATCCGATCCTTCGTTCGTCATTGAATCATCCGACGGTTGGGATCAAAATTGGGATGGTGACGATGATGATGATTGGGATGAGGAAAAAGCGGTGGCATTTTCGCCAGGTGGCAATATTACTCGTAAAGTTTCGAAAAACTCCGCCTCTTTGAATCACGTAGATACTACTCAATGGGGAAATGATTGGGATGATTAATGTGGTAGATATATAGGTGGAAAGTTTTTTTTGGCATATATACTTGATAGAAATATATATTTTCTCGCTCTCTTTTGGTTTCATATATACGAGATACTTCGTAGCGCTTGGTTTTAACCTTAATGCATGTCCGAGCTCCTTTTTATGATTAACCTTAATGCATGTTCGATTAGGAGAAGGAATCGTAGGATGACATGGGTTGCTTATTTCTACGATGTTTGGTGTTATGCAAGTGGATTTTCGAGTTATGTTGTTTGTTGAACATTGGAAAAAAAATCGTGTAAATTAACGACACGCCCTTGAGGTCAGGTTAATTTACGAAAAGTCCCCTCTAGTTTGCATAATGACATTTACCCCTAGGGGTATGCATCGTCTAACATTTTTCCTATCCTACGGCGTAAATCATAAAAGAATCTTTTGGATTGCAGGAATGTTACAAAAAAAAATTCAAATTTTATCGTTTCAGGGGTGTCATTGTAAGATTTCTATTTATTAGGGGTGAATTGTAATATTTTTAGATAATATAAAATGTAGTCGATTTATAAGTGTTGCACGACTGATTTTTCTTTCTCTCACTGCATTTGCTTTTTTCCTATCACATTTGCATGTAGTATATCTCAAACTAGTAGTAAAAGAAACTAGAAAAAAATATTTGTGTGTGTGTCTAACTTCGATTTTCAAATTTGTTTCTAATTTGTTTTGGCGAAAATAGAATATCGAGAACTCTTTTAATGCGGAAAAGAACTGTTGATTTTATTTAGTAACTTTTTCAATTATAATTTGAACATTTCACAATTTTCATTAAAAACTTTGAGCTATCATTAGTTTGATGGATAAATAAAATTTTGGATAGCAAGAGTGGTTATTTCATAATTTGACCTCAATTCAGGGGTATATTCATAATTTACCCAAAATTTTCAGAAAGTTTTGCTAGTTATTTATTGTTTTTAGGGTAAATTACAAACACCCCCCTGAGGTATGGTTAAATTACAAAAATCCCCCTCTTGTTTAGATAATTACATCTACCCCCCTCAACTATGATTTTTTCTTACACCTCCACCCTTATTGTGCCAAATTCAACATAATCATCTAGATTCCGTGGAATGTGCTCTAGTTTGTACTCGTTTTGTGTAAAAATACAGTTTCCGATGCACCACAAACTGATATATACAAGCTAAAAATCGCATATTATGATCATCTTGCTTCATAATGTAGAGTTTGAATGGGATAAAACGGGTACACAAGTGATAATATTCCATATAATCTCGAAGATTCCACTAAAATTGAGGAGTTGAGGGGGTGGTTATAATTATCCAAACAAGAGGGGTGTTTTTGTAATTTGACCATACCTTAGGGGTGTTTGTAATTTACCCTTGTTTTTATTTGAGAGATAACTGGATTGCATTTGGACTGCAACGAATTTTAACTGGATATAAAGAACCAAAATGGATCCAAAAGATTGGATCTAAAATGAATCGAATTTGGATCCGATTCGTGTGGATCCATTATTTCTTGATTTTAACTATAAGGAAGTGGACAACATCCATTAATATTTCAGGTAAATTACGGTCACCTCCCTGAAGTAAGGCCAAATTACAAAAAAACCCCTCATGTTTGGGTAATTACAATCACTTCTCATTTAGAATCTTCTAATTACAATCACTTCTCAATTAGAATCTTCTTACACATTCATCCTTGTGGCGTAAAATTTAGTGGAATCTTCTAGATTATGTAGAATATTTTTCAGTTTGTACGTGTTTTACCACATTCGAGCTGCACATTTTGAAACATGATGATCATAAGAATTAAGATGTGTCTCTTAGCATGTAAATATCAGATTGCGGTGCATCAGAAACTACATTTTTGTACAAAACGAGTACAAACTAGAGAATATTCCACAGAATCTGGGAGATTATGTAAGAGTGGACGTGTAAAAATATTCAATGTTGAAGATGACAGTTGTAGTTACCCAGAGCAAAATGAATTTTATTGTAATTTAACCTTACCTAATTTGAACTTCCTATATTTTTCTATACGAAGATTGGAAGTGAAGATAAAAAAAAAAATACTTCTAATATTAAAAGGTTAAAAATAATTTTTTTTTACACAATTTTTTATATTTTTTTGATAAAATCACAATTTTATTATTTAGTTTACTGTTTTAAGACATAAAATAGCTAGACATGTCCTATATTTACTTTCATCTTTTATATCTCTCTTATTTTACTCTCCCCTGCCATTGTTGGGGAAATTAAACCAGGTTTTTTAATGTAATAATTAATTTAGTTTCCAAAGAATTAATTATGAGCATATTTTGGAAAACCCACATTTTTCATGCAACATTATATTATGGGCTCTAAAAAGAAAACCCCATTACTATGTGTTTTATTTTTTTTATTTTTTTTTTAAGCTAAAAAATTGCAGAATGACAGTTTATAAAAGATGTTTGCATCTCTCAATAAAGCAAAAGGGCCTCATTAAAAAAAATAAAATAAAAAATTAACAGGTTTAAATTATGAAATTCGAAAAATTAAAAAGCCCTTTAGCCAATTCTAAGACAAACTTTCTCTTGCTTTCAAGTCATGTAAAGAAATATTCTTCTTGTTATTCTCTGTCTTCCCAAATCATCTTTCTTTGTCCAAACTGTTCAAACTATTTATGTAATTAAAAACACACACACAAACACCTGTGTGTGTGTGTGTGTGTAATTTGAACTCAAGTAAGTCACTGAGCATGGGAATTACTGCATGGCTCAAGAAATATTCCAAATGATGTTGCATTGGCATTCTAAATCATATATATTTGTAGCTCTCAATAAAATTACTCTACAACATGCTTCTAGTTTATTATTATTATTATTATTATTATTATTATTATTATTATTATTATTATTATTATTTTTTAGTTGATTTCAATCCAATATTTTCGATTTTAGAACAATATTTTTAATTTCATTTTGAATTCTGTAAAAGAATATCCAATTTCCGTTTTTTCCACTTTGTTGGATTATAATTGCCATGTTTAAAAGATTTTGGTTTTCGATAAAATTTTCAATTTTGAAAATAATTCCAAAATTTTGGGTTTTTTTTTCTTCCAAAAATTATATTTACAATATCAATATTATTATGTATTTTAAATTAAAAAAAAAAAAAATTATTCCCGTCGATTCTAGTTCGAAAATGTTCAAGTTTAGTAAAAGTTCTTTTTAATATATCCAGTTTCTGGTTTTTTTTTTAACAAAAATCTGAATTAGTTCTTTCACTTCCGAACAAAAATTGAGTACTAATTCCAATTCAATATGTCTGATTTTCACTTCTAGTTTTTGCGTTCCAATTATCTTCGTGGTTTTATCTTTTTTTCTTCCTTTTTCCCTCTAATCAATATTTTATTTTTATTTTTATTTTTTAGACATCAAATTAAGATTCCCAACAATGAGACATGATACATTTTAGTAAGTTTTGATGAATAAGTGAGATTGATAATGCATGTCTTTATATAGTAAATTATACTATTAATAATAAGGGTAAATTACAAACACCCCCCTGAGGTATGGTCAAATTACAAAAACTCCCCTCTTGTTTGGATAATTACATCTACCCCCCTCAACTATGATTTTTTCTTAGACCTCCACCTTTATGGTGCCAAATTCAACATAGTCATCTAGATTCCGTGAAATGTGCTCTAGTTTGTACTCTTTTTGTGTAAAAAATACAGTTTTCGATGCACCACAAACTGATATATACAAGCTAAAAATCACATATTATGATCATCTTGCTTCATAATGTAGAGTTTGAATGGGATAAAACGGGTACAAAAGTGATAATATTCCATATAATCTCGAAGATTCCACTAAATTTGATGAGTTGAGGAGGTGGTTGTAATTATCCAAACAAGAGGGGTGTTTTTGTAATTTGACCATACCTCAGGGGGTGTTTGTAATTTACCCTTATTATTATAATTGTGTGTCATGTGACAGCTAATTAATGTTGAAAATGCCAATAGGTTAGGTTGTCTTGGGCGAAACAACACCAATCTAATTATCTGAAAATTGCACTATGCTTTTTTGACAACTCAGTTTGGTTAACAACTCACATCACATGCCCTCACTAACATTTTTATTTCAATTTTAACAACTATGCTACCCTACCAAAATAATTCCATCCATGTGGTTTATTTAGTTATAATAGATATACAAATTGTGTAACTCTTGAGATTTGAGATTTAGATTATTTATTTATTTATTTATTTCATTTAATTTAAGTCACTTTTGACTTCTTAGTTCTTACAATGGATTAATTACTTTTTTTTTTTTTTTATATATATAGAATTTGTGCATCTTTATTATGTATATATGTCGATCCTTTTTAATTATCGTTTTTAGCTTTGCACGAGAATTAAAGATTTAATTAAGTGTGGTCTTGATTCTGGAAAATATATGCTTTTAGACTAGAATATCCTCGCCACTACTTAACAAGAGAGAATGTTGGAGAGAGGTAATAAGGCTAAAATTGATAATTATACAATTAATGATGTATTAGGATTCTAAAGTGATTGATAGATTAGAATAAAAAAAAATTATAAAAATTGAGAGATATTGTAGAACGGAGGAAGTATAAAGATAATCATAATCATTAATTAATCAGTAATATGTGGTTCTTATGAAATTGCATTAATGCAATATATGTAATGGTTTATGAGATGCTACACCTGTGTTATTTTATGTAGGACAATAGTTAAAAATCATCCAATGTGTTTCACCGTGTGTAACATCTATAAAACCCGCATGTGATGCTTGTTACTTCTTTTATGATAAATTATTGTTGTTTTATTCAATAACAAATTAATTGGCACTATAATAAGACTTTGTGTAATAAGATAATTAATTTGAGAATAAAGATATGAAAATGCAGAAAGATATGATGAAATACAAAAGAGGATAAGTTTCCAACCAAGAAAAGGACATGAAGAAGAATGAGAAACCATATAACCTAACAAAGTAAATAAGTTAAAAAAAAAAACCTGCAAATTGGCCAAATATAAAGAAACAAAAATTGCATTTAAATAATCAATAATTCAATATTATGGGTGACCACATTATTAAAAGTGACATGTCACTCAAATTACAGGTTTTCTCTAAGCTGGAAAAAAAATACTCTTTATAAGACACAAACAGCATTTATTAATATTTATTAAAAAATAATAACATTTTCTCAAAAAAAAAAAATAATAATAACATATAAATAAAATAAATGCATTATTCTAACATTTCAATACCACTGACACTTTGCTTTCTTTATTAAGGTTTTTTGCTGTTTTCTTTGATTCTGCTGTCACTTGTTGTTTTTATATTCACAACTTAGATTTATTTGCTTTGGGAGTGGGAACCAAGAATCTTGAAAAAATATACACACACACAGTACTATCAATTTCACTTTTGACTTCCCAAATTATATTATATGTGACCTGTCATTGTACATGCCATGCTATACATACATAAACATAAAAGTATATATATGTGTGTGTATTACTGTGTGAAACCTTCACAAATTTCTCATTCTATTCAAGAACATATAAATTTATTACCATAAAAAAAAAAAAAAAAAAAAAAAAGAATCAGCAAGAATGTTAAGAACATAAATCAGAGCATGTAATAATAATCCAACAAATTAAAGGGTTTTTCTTACCAACATAAATCACATTTGGTTCATCAAAGGAGAAAGAAGATACTACAACAAATTCCAAACCTAATGAACCAAAATATTCCAACATTTAAAATTAAAAATAACATCATCACAAATGGGATCTAATCAAATTTCAACTGCTAAAAATCTACACTTCTCTCTCTCTCTCTCTCTCTCCTTTCAAGATAAACCAACCAGATTCTTCTTCGACTTTCTTCGACGTTAACAGTTAGCTAAAAATCGGGCACCAACTCGTCGTCCTGGCTGCTTTGAGAAGGGCACCGTCGAATCATCTCCAATATATTAACCACCTCGTCCATATCGGGCCTATTCGAAGGCACTTGCGAGGTACAAATCAACCCTAGTTTCATCACCGGAATCGCCTCCTCCACCGGAAACTTCCCCAGCATTCTAGAATCAACGCACTCCTCCACCCTCCCTTCTTCCACCGCTCCTCTCACCATATCGGAAAGCACCACCACGTCATCCTCCATATACTCAACGGGCCTCTTCCCCGTCAGAACTTCAAGAACCAAAATCCCGAATCCGTACACGTCGCATTTTTCCGTTATTTTCACCGTTTTGCATGCAAATTCAGGCGCCATGTATCCGAGAGCGCTCTGTATCTTACTGCTCAATACATAACGGTCCAACATAGGCAGCAATCTCGCCAAACCATAATCCGCCACTTTAATTTCGCCCGACCCTTCGTCGATTAAGATATTGCTCGATTTCAAATTGTAGTGGATTATGTTCGTGCGGTGGAGGTGGGCCAGCCCTCTTGCCGCACCAAGAACGATGTTGTACCGCTCGTTCCACGATAGGCATCTTCCGGAAGATTCCTCGTGGAGATGCTTGTAAAGATTCCCTCCGGATACGAATTCGTAGATGAGTAGCTGCAGAGACGGGGTCCAATAGTATCCGTCGAGTGCCACGAGATTTTCGTGACGGGCTTTTGATAATTTTTTAACCTCCCTTTCGAAATCGTCTTGAGATTTTACGAGGCTCGAGACTGTGAGCTTCTTGATGGCGACGGGGCGGCCATCGCCCAGCATGGTCCGGTACACCGCCCCGAAGCCGCCTCGGCCCAGCTCGCAGTCCTTGTTGAGGAGGGCGTGGGTCCCAGTGCTGAACTCGGGGTCGCCAGAGAACATGACCAACTTCCCTGATTCTCCATCCGTCGAGGGGGAGCGGCTGAAGTCACCACCGCCGGAGAAAGTGAGGGCGGCATCAGGGTGGCGGCGATCGCGATCACCGCCCCGCACGCGGAGGTTGAGGACTGTGATTGCGATCACTCCGACGACGATGGAGGCAGCTGCGCCGATGGCGATGAGGGCGGAGATGCTGAGGATTTTCTTTCCACCGCCGAAACGGGATTGGAGGGTGGTGGGGGTGGTGGTGCCGCCGCCCGGAGTGGTGTCGTTGGGATTAAGTACGATTGGTTTGGGAAGGACGGTGGGGCAAGTGGTGTTGACTGCGGACCCGCAGAGGGAGGGGTTTCCGGTGACAGACGATGGATCGATGGTGTTGAAGAAAGCACCAGCTGGCAGATCGCCTTGGAGCTGGTTGTGCGAGATGTTGAATACACGAAGGCTTACGAGATTCGCTAGCTGCTTTGGTAACGGTCCCGTTAGCTTGTTGAAAGAGAAGTCTACCGTTTGAAGGTGATTGAGCTTTGCAAGAGATGCAGGAATAGGACCAGCTATTTCATTGTGAGCTAATGACCTGTCAAACAAAGACATAAGGAACTCTTATATACAAATCAAGCGAATTATCACGACTAATCACAAACGGATAAACAAAATGACCACTCATTCGGTTCATACATACATTAATAAATAATAAAGATTATTGGAACAATATCCATTTCAGATGCATTAAAAAGATTAATTCAAGAATCATTAGACCAAGCGGAGAAAACTTACAGTGATGTAAGAGCAGCGCAATTTCCGATAGATAAAGGAATGTAACCCTCCAACAAGTTCTTCTCCAGTCGTAATTCGTTAAGAGATGCGAGTGATCCAATATCAGAAGGAATACTACCGTTTATCCGATTCTCGCTCAAATCCAGAACACTTAAGCTCTTCAACCATCCGATTTCTGCAGGAATGCTCCCCACGAAAGAATTCCTCGCCATATTCAACGACTGCAAATTACCGAAATCCCCCAAAGATGACGGAATTTCACCGGATAATTTATTTTGGGAGACGTCCAAAATCAAAACCTTTTTCTGAGAGTTCTCCTTCGACGAACCAAAAGCATTACCAATCCCTCCGGTTAACCCATTGCCAGAAAACAGAACTTGCTCCAACCCGAGTTCGAATATCCAGGAAGGAAGATTGCCTGTCAGAGAATTATGACTAATATCAAACGACAGAAGATTCGTACAATTGCTCATGGACTCGGGCAAGCTTCCATTGAGGGCATTCTTGGAAACATTCAGAACCTTCAAAGACTGAAGCTTCCCAAGAGAATCTGGAATTCGGCCGCTAAGGCCGTTCTCCGAAAGATCGAGACTCTCGAGGCTTCTCATTTCTCCAATCCATTCAGACAAATCGCCCTCAAAACCGTTCTTGCCTAAAACCAGATTATTACACAACGACAGCTTCTGAATCGTGCTCGGAAGCCTCCCGGAAAACGAGTTTCCACTCAAATCGATCGATCTCAACAGCAAACAATTCCCGATTCCATCGGGAACTTCACCGCTAAGCCGATTATTTCTCAAACTTATCGCCCTCAAATTGTTCAAGCTCTCGATAGCCTCAGGGATAACACCCTCCAGCACATTTTCGGAGAAATCAAGCGACCGAAGCCCTGATAAAGCCCAAAGCCCCAAAGGCAACGAACCCGATAACTGATTCCCCGAGAAGTTGAGCGAAACAAGAGCCGAACATGAGGCTAAACTCTCCGGAATCGGGCCTGAAAATTTGTTTCTGGCCAAGGAAATGGATCTTAAAGACCCACATTGGGTAAAGAAATCACTCGGGATAGAGCCAGAGAAGCTGTTTTCACTCAAGTCGAGAACCCTAAGATCGGAGAGCTGAGCGAAGCTGAGGGTTACGCTTCCGGTGAGATTGTTCTTCGACAGCGAGAGCTTCCGGAGAAACTGCAACTGAAGAAGTCCTCTGCCCAGTTTGCCGGAGAGGCCGAATCCATCGAGAACAAGGTCGGAAACTCTGTTGGATCTAGGGTTGCACTTCACACCAACCCAATTGTTGCAAGGGCTGTCGTCTTCTTCGTTCCAGGAAGCTAATTTCCCGTCTGGATCTTGAACATCGGCCTTGAACACAATTAGGCCCAAAACGTCGTCGTTTAGGGAAGGGCTCAGAGATTTAGCTAAGAAGGGGGAGAAACAAATGAAGAACAGAATTCCCCCAAGTAGTTGGCTTCTCATTTTTTGAACAAAAATTGAAACTGCTCAAGGCATTGCTGAACTCAAGGGGGGTAAATTAGTCAAAAAAAAATTGGGGAAACGGCTAAAACCTAACGGCTAGAAATTGAGAGCTGGAGAAAAATGTGAAGAGAAAACGGAAAAAAAACAAATTGAACAGCAACAAAACCCCAATGTATATCGACTAAAATCGACGCATTTAGCGAAGAAATTTTACAGAAAATCAAGCAGATAGAACTTGTTATCTTGTTCGGAAAGTTAAAGGCTGGGATAATAAAGGAAGTAGGTAGCAAAAATCTCGGAGAACAAGCTTGCTCTTGAGGTTTAATGGAGGCAAACGAAGTGGAGCGAGAGGTTAATTTTGATCTGAGAGAAAAAAAAATAGTGTACTCGAATATGCGATTAGGATTCGCCGGAATATCCTTCTGGAACGGAGGCGATGCTTCAAGGGAGAGGCGTTACCGGAAAATGCGCCGGGGAAAAGTGGGAGTTGCCGGCACCGGTGAGAAGTGGAGCATTTAAAGCGCTCTTTCTCTCTCCTCACTCTCTCTCTCTCTAGAATTTTATCTCTCTATATCTGCTGCTTTGTTCTAAAGAGAATCTCTCTCTCAACTTTATTGTAAACACAGAGAGAGAGAGAGAGAGAGAGAAGCATTTATGAATGGAAGAGGAGGCCGTTGAGGGTGCTTTTATTACTATGACACGTGGCGAGTTTTTATCGGCTCAGATCGATCCTATGTGGAAAGACACGTCAAATCGGTTTCTGATCGTGGCCGTGGTTTGTGGAAAATGAAAATGTAAAATAAGAAATAAAATAAAATAAAAAGTTGAGGTAAATAATTGAAATTAACAGTATGGTGCGTTTGAAGCGTCGATATCAAAACCCCCCTTTTTATTTTTGTTTGTTCTTTTGTTTTTTCAGAAAATAAAATAAAATAAAGAAATAGGGCCAGGGGCCATGACCCCCAGCATTTCTCATGTTTCTATTATTTTATATACAGTAGCATTTTTTCCCGTACAATGTACGGGATAGCATTTCAAATGAAAATGATGATTAGATTAATACATGATAATAATAATTATAATTAAATTTATTAGCGATATCGATAACAACATCAATATTTATACGAATTTAATAATACAAACTCATTTAAAAGAAAACTATAAAAGCTTAATTGTCATAATATGAAATATATCATTAAATAAATGAAGCATAGTTTTTAGAAAACATAGGCTGGAAAATAATAATAATAATAATAATAATAATAATAATAATAATAATAATAATAATAATAATAATAATAATAATAATAATAATAATAATAATAATAATAATAATAATAATAATAATAATAATATAGATGTAGTGGATTATGATTGTGCTAGTCGAAATTTGGTGTTAAAGTAATTAGAAAAAAAAATAGCTACAAAATAGGAGATAAAAAAAAATTATATTTGCACACGAATTAATTTATTTTTACAAATATATTATTAGAGTTTCTTAGGTTATCCTAACGTTTCTTTCTTTTATATATAAGATATTTCAAAAAAATTGTGTATAATCGCATTATCAGCGCTCTCTCCACAGAGTTTGAATCTTGGTTCCGCTAGTGATTATCTCAAAAGTATATTTATATAACAACAAACCTTTCTATATTATTTTTATTTATTTATGGGGTTGTACTCAAGCCCAACAAAACCTAGATTAACTACTTGTTCAAGTTCTCTAAGTTGGCTAAAAGCCCATAAAAAGACTAATCAACAATTAGATTTTTGTAATCTTCTCCAATAAGAATTCATCCATTATTTTTCATTTGTAATGAGAAACAAGCCATTTATTTTTACAAATGATTGACTTGTGATATATGACTTGAGCGTCACAGAATAATCGTCAACTAAATCCCGATATTTTTTACATAAACATGTTGCGACATATGAATTGAGTAATCACTCCTCCAAGATCCAAAATCTGAAGCTCGTATGCAGTGGCGTATCCACTGTGGTCCTAGGGTGTGCAACTGCACACCCTTGATTTTGAAAAAAAAATATTCCCTATATATTTATATATTATATAACTGTAAATGTAAAAATTGTTGAAGAGATCTTGTAGCTGAACTGGTAGGGATCTCCCTTCAAATACAGCGAAGTGCAGAGTTCGAGACTCAGATTGAACCCTTTTATTTGGAATATTTCAAAGTTTTTTTGTATTTCTAATACATATAATATTTCAAAAAATCAAAATCTCCTAATAAAACATATATTTTGCTATTTGCAACTTTAATTTCCATTCCTTTAATATTTTATATAATTTACATTATTCCAAAATTCTTATAATATTTTATATAATCTAAATTATTCCAAAATTCTTAATTTTATATATATATGCTTGTTTTTTTTTATTTCTAATACATATAATATTTCAATTGTTTTCAAAATTTTTGAATATGTGGGTATTTTTGAATATTTCAAAAAATCAAAATCTCCAAATATATAATATTTCAATTGTTTTCCAAAATTTTTGAATATGTGGGTATTTTTGAATATTTCAAAAAAATCAAAATCTCCTAATAAAACATATATTTTGCTATTTGCAACTTTAATTTATTTACCATTCCTTTAATATTTTATATAATATAAATTATTCCAAAATTCTTAATTATATATATATATATATGCATTATTACAATTATTTTCTAAATTTACAACTATATTTTTTTTTTTAAATTCAAAATCTGCTAATGAAATACACATTTTGTCACTTGCAACTTTAATATGCTTACCACTCCTTAAATATTTTCACCAATTTTATGTCTAAATATTTCCTAAATTAGCCCAAAATTTGTAAAATAATCCCTTTAAATTTGAAAATATTACATATTTTTATTATTTAATGTGCATAGTATTAAAAAAAAATCGGGGGCGCTGCCCCCGAACCCCCGTAAACTTTTACCTTTTTTACTATATTTAATTCCGAACACCCTTGGCAAAAATCCTGGATTCGCCACTGCTCGTATGCAACAACTTTTTTTATTTCATTTTGAAATTGAAATATTAGGCATCAATGCCTATGCTTCCAAAACAACAGTGGATAAGAAAATTAAAATTATGAAAATAAGAAGTAATTATAAATATTTTGCTCCCCTTTTCCATTTAAAAAAAAAAAAAAACATATTCACCAAGCTCAACATTTTCTGCAAAGAAAAAAATTAATTTGTCCACTACATCGAGGGAAGAGCAAGATAGAGACTTTTCAATAACATTCAAGCGGGGAACGGAATATAACACAAGGGGCAATATGGGAAGTCAGAAAAATAAAAGATAAATACAATAATAAAATAAATAAATAACATATTTAAAAATTTATTTGATTTTTTTAAAATAAAGAATGAGAAGAATGCTGATGATACTACTGTGCTGCATGCCTCAAATTTTAAAGTTTTTGTGTTTCGGACAAGTTTCGTGGTGGACCATCGATGAGACCTGCTGGACATCTTATGGGCCATTTTGCAATGTTTAAAAAGTTATAAACATGTTTGAATAACATATTTTCAATTTTTTTGTTGTTTTCTAATTAGTTGATGGTAAAATTTATTTTGAATATATGTTATGTTGTATGAAATAAAAAAGAATCTATATATAAATAAAAACTTATATATATACTCCTATAATTTTAATATTTAAACGTTTTTCTCAAGGTCTCATATCCCTATTTTTTGGATATATCGTTTTTCTGTGTCTGTTTCCATGTATCCCCGTTTCTTTGTCCCTGCTACATAGCCTACATAGCCTACAATTATAATATATTTACATATAAGATCACATATACAATAAAATATTTCACTATTACATATCTTCTAATATCAAAAAACAAAATATTTACCTTTTTCTTCTAAAATTGAAAATAAAAGCATTTTAGAAATTAGAATCACAAATGTTCTTCAAAAAGAATTTATAATGACAAATGAATTTATGATAAATTTGAGCACAGCTATTAATTCATTTAAAAATAAATAAATAATTAAATAAATAAATAAAGTAGGTAGGAAAAATGAGAAAGGGTGGGTGGTGACAATAAAGAAAGGTTGAGTTATTGTTAGTGTGGCAGAGTTGGAGAATGACACTACCTTTGCCTTTAAAGCTTTTTGGTGTGCTTTAAATTCCCATTCGAACTGTAAAATAGGTCCCCTCCTCGCATGTAACATGCCCAAAATTGATTGATACACAAAAAAATTTATTGATATAGAGAAAAATTTGATTAAATAACCTCAATTTTACTCATCTTATCAACATTTTATTTAGGACTTTGTCACGCATGAATTAGAAATATATATCGATTACGAATCCTCTTAATATTTTTTATATTGCAAAAAGAATTGGTGAAATGATATGCATATATTTTTGGGTGTTCCTTGATATGTTTTGATGATATATATTGCTTAAATTAAATACATAGGTTAAACCTAGCTAGAATTAATACTATAATTGAACTTTAAAGCACGATAGGGTAGTAATGATACATTGAATTTCACCTGAAATAATTAGATTGCATTGCAAGTGATTTTAATGATGAATTTAATTTGATAATGATTAAATTTTAGGGTAAATTCCAATTTTCCCCATTTACTTTGGCTCGATATCAGTTTACTTTATTCTATTCTCGATTGCATCGATTTGCCCCATTGTATTTGAAAATTTGTCTTAATGTGCCCCTCACTCTTAGTTGTCAGACATTTGACCTTAACACCGTTTGGTCTAAACTCTGAAATTACAAAAACACCCCCTCTCCTAGTTTAAATAATTATTAAAAAACAAAAAAAAAATAATAAAATAATAAAAAAATTTAAGACAACGAGAAAGCTTAGTCCAGACGGCAGCCACGATTTATTTTTAATTTATTTTTAATTTTTTAATAATTATTTAACTCGGAGGTGTGATTTTTTTTTTTAGTTTTCAGACTTAGATCAAACGGCGTTAAGGCCGAATGTCTAAAAACTAACGACGATTGCCACATTGATACAATTTTTCAAGTACATGGGACAAATCGATGCAATTAAGAGTAGAATGAAGTAAAGTGATATCGAATCAAAGTACAAGGAATAAAGTGAAATTTATCCGAAATTTTAATAGAGGTCGAGTGAGGTGTGAACCTGGCCCCAATATTTGGTTATTTAGTACATTTTAGTCTTTAAATATTTTATTAAATGTGTTTTAAACTACTATATGCTAAATAATGGAATATATATATACACCTCCCTATATTAAAATTAATATTATTTACTAGGGTATAATTACACCTCCCTCTCTTGAAGTTTTGTGTTAGACACCCTCTCGTTTGAAAAATTATGCATATCTCCTTTGAGATTTCATATATTAACTAACACTTATTGTTTTTTTTTTTTTGGTATTCCATTTTTACCTGTGACCAAACATTGAGAATATCACATTGTCTCCATTTCTGGCTACACCTAATTACATATAGACCTCTTATTTTAAATTATTTTTACATATTCACCCCTTAAAGTTCAAAAACATTCAAGGGAGGTCCCTGTAAACTTAAGAGTTAAAGCTTACATATTTGTTTCTCTATAATGGAAGTTTTCGAGAGAAATTTTATTTTTAGTAAAAACTAAAGTACTAGATTATTTAATAAGTTTAAATATAGGGTAAATTACAAAAACCCCCCTGAGGTATGGTGAAATTACAAAAACCCCCCTCTTGTTTGGATAATTACATCTACCCCTCAACTATGATTTTTTCTTACATCTCCACCCTTATTGTGCCTAATTCAATATAATCATCTAGATTCCGTAGAATGTGCTCTAGTTTGTATTCGTTTTGTGTAAAAATACAGTTTCCGATGAACTACAAACTGATATACACAAGCTAAAAATAACATATTATGATCATCTTACTTCATAATGTAGAGTTTGAATGGTATAAAACGGGTACAAAAGTGATAATATTTCATATAATCTCGAAGATTCCACTAAATTTGAAGAGCTGAGGGGGTGATTGTAATTATCCAAACAAGAGGGGTGTTTTTGTAATTTACCATACCTCAGGGGTGTTTGTAATTTACCCTTAAATATAAATTTTGGTTCAATTAAATTTCAAGGGAGATCTCTATAATGATATAAAAATACGTCGGATCCTTATGTAACTAGATCTAGCCTCAATGGAGGACAGTGTAATTTACCCACTATTTAATCAAGGGCAAAATCGGAAATTCAAAGAATCAATTGTTACATAAGTTAAATGTTAGCTTATAAAAAATTTCAAGAGAGAGAGAGATGTATAATGTTTTAAATCAAAATGGTGTATCTATAACTACATCTAATCTCTTATGTACCTTACCATAATTTTAAATCATGCACATTCGGCATCGGAGACTCCATCGGTGGCCACAATGGTCTCCTCGCGCACAACATAATAGCGAGAATTAATAGGAGCGAAAGGATACCCATTTGGATCAAAGTCATGCCGGAAAATCAAACGAGCTTTTGTATTATTCCGAAAAAGGGCTTTTCTGTGTTTTGCAGACGTGCGATGATTGGAGATTTTTTTTTTCAATCCTACATTTCTTTATCGTCTTTCTTGTGACAGCCGAGGCGGGCTTTTGTGATTTTGAATTCATGTGAGGGTATTCCAGACATTTCAGTGACAGTATGGAGTAAAACGTAAATGAACTTTGAAAAGTGGGAGTGCAAAGCTGAAAAGAAAAAGTATAGGGACTGATTCGAAAATATAACTACCTAAGAGGCATCTTGTTTGAAAGTCCAAGTGATAAAGCATACAGCGTGTGCTAGGTGTAGGTGGTCCAGCTATTGGCCCTGGCCAAGACAAAAGTCAAACGTCGCGACGCCACATTTAACGGCGTCAAAAAAGAATTGCATCAAAGGCTAAACTACAAACGCCTCCGGACAAAGGCCCCTACACTGCCGTTACATCAATTTTTTTTCTTCTCGGTTCCCAAAAATGGAAGAAAAAATTTGGAAATAGTCAAATTGAAGAATTATTCTTGCCAGTTGCCAGCTAAGGTTTTACTTCAGTACACATTTAGGGGTGAGAGAAAAAAAACCGAAAATCCTAACCGAAAATTTCAGTTCATCTTCGGTTTTTCAAGTAGAAAACCGAACCGACAAAATTAATTAAGTATATATACTTGTGGTTTTTTTTTTTTTTGTTTTTGCAGTGGATTTTTTTTTAGCTGATGTTGAATGAATTTCAATTGATCTTGGGCTGATTTTTATTGTCTTTTCCTTTTTACTAAACTTTGAGCTGATTTATTGACATTTTTGGGCTGATATCCTGCGCCAAAATGAGGCCAAAACCGAATCAAAAATCGAACAATTATTGAAACCGACCTGATAATTTATGAACCGAAAAGGAATTGAACCGCAAGAAACCAATTTGTTTGGTTTTTGGTTCTTTAGGAACCGAATACTTAGGTTTTAGTTTGGGTTTGAGGCTAAAACCGAACCAAACCGACCCGGTCTCACCCATGACACATTGGATTTTCTTCTTGCTCAAACTTTGCGAACCTAAATAGTAAATACGTATTTATATAGAGTCAATACAAATTAATTTTATTGCAATATTATTATATCTTGTAGTATTTCTTTTTTTTAATATTTTTTTTATATTATCAAGAAAAAAAATTAAAATGATTTTAAGGGGATTGAGAAATTATTTCTATGCAATTGTTCATTAGGAATTTAGGTTTGAGGCAAAAAAGAAAAATCTCTCTTCCTTTATGGAATTTTGTACAAGGAAAAAGGGTACATAAATATAAAAAAGTGATTAAAATAATATTTGTGGCTGCTGGGATTCGAGCCCAGGTCTCCACGGCCACAACGTGGAATTCTTACCACTAAACTACAGCCACTTTGTTGTCGGTTTGTTGAATAGAGTTGTTATCAAATACAAATACATACCACATTTTTATGTTAAATCATGTATTGGAGGATAAATATTTCTTCCCTAATATTATGCAGACAAACATCGGACTATTTATCTACAGATATATGTTACCAAAAGCTACAGTGTACACAAGAATGAACTAAAATGGCATCTCATATATTTGCAACATAACACATTATTTATCTTCTCCATTACAGAATAATCAGACACAGGAGAAGTAAATATTCCAAAATTCATCATACTTCATAAAAAACTCGTCAAATTTTGGGTGACAAATGAAACCTTATATAGCCCATTTCTGCAATCTTGTACTCAACCCGTAAAGGGAACTCCGTGCAAAAGCTTAGGGTTACCGTGTTTGATAATGGAGTTGCCTCCGTGATTTTGCACAAAAACGAAAGAAGAAACAGCAAAGACATTTCTCTTTTCACTTCTATCACTGTTGCATCTTCTGGCTGCACAAATAAGTAAATTAAAAAGAAGGCGTAGCGAGTTCATAGGCAAGTGGGAATCGAATCAAACCTTGTCCGCGGTTGTATTCTGCCTGCAGAAAATAGTTGTCGTACTTCCTGAATCGCCACTTGTTGAGAATCTTACTCCTTCATTCGTAACGGAGATCACAACTGCCGAAGGGTAAGTCCGACATGGTTATTATTACTACAAAAATCTTAACAACGGTTATAAATTCCAAATAAAACTTGAAGTAATTAATTACCTTTCTTGCCTATACAGAAAAGATTCTTACAAACTTTTGCAAATCTCAAAGACGACATTCTGACGGTAGCATCATACTCGGTATCCAAAATCTTCATCTTAAACTCAGTAATTATATCTTGAGCTGCGATTGATTAAAACAACATTGTTCAGTGTTCAGCACATACGGGCCGGGCTTGAATTTAAAATCCAGACGTTAATTAATTTTAAAATGACAGGCTAAAAATGCTAAACCATAATTTTCTTTTATGAATATATGTGAAAAGTCTAGCCCACAACACCATATATAACTACTTAGATTTCCATAAAACATGGAACAAACTAAAGCACATGTGAAGGAGTAGCTCTTAAAATTGTTAATCGTCTAAACGAGAGGGAGATATAGAACAATATATGTATATTTTTCTAATACCTGCAAATTCTAATGACATACTTCCGATATGATTTTTTCAAGGAGATTTGAACGAAATTCACTAAAAAAATTGGTAATTTCGATTCGATACACCTCCAGATCTAAAAAAACTTGCAACGCACGATTCTGAATCTTGATTGTTGCACGTCTTACAAAGGTACGTCCACAATACATACAACGCAGGATTCTCACATATTCTTGCCAACAAGATCAAAACTTGCCTACATTTCTCTTTCGTATCTCAATATTTTATCCATTTTTACTTTTACCACAGTGACCACTAGCAGAGCTAGGATTTGAAGTCAGCGGGGGCCGAATGTATTAAAAAAAAAATCTAAGCTATAATGCACGATTGTTTTTATATTTTTATATAAATAATAAGGATTTGAGAAATGGTAGGGGGCCATGGCCCCCAGGCCCTATGCTGGCTCCGCCACTGACAGTTACAACAGTATCGTGTTATTATAACTTTACACCACCAAAATCGATGATTTAAGTTTTTTTCCCTCCATCACATCTCTCTTTCTATTAAAACAAACTAGAGATGGCAAGCAACACAAAAACTTTTATCAAACAGTTCGTCAAAACCACTGAAGTTCATCAACTCAACCCATTTGCTTCGGACGAAAATGTACCGTACTCCTCCGCTCTTTTCTTTCAAAATAGAATAACTAAAACATGAGAAAACAAGCACAAAACACTAAAAAAAAAAAATCCAACTCCAAAAGAAGATTGTACAACATACCGGGATTCTCGAACACGAACGTTAAGTCACTGCTGCCGTCATCGGCCTTGAGGGTGATGACGTCATCTTCACCGGCGCCCTCCAACATTTCAGACATATTTTCAAAGTTCACTCCGATGGAGATTTTACGGTCGCAGCGGTAGTGCACAAAGCCATCCCGCCGGAGCAGCAGCTCCACCATCGCCGCTTCGTACGAGTCCATGGTCTGCACGTACAATCCGGTGGCCGAGAAATCAAAATTGGCATCGTCCACAAAATCTTTAATTGCTTCTACCACCTTCTTCAACAAACTCCCACGTGCCAGCCTCAGCTCCAACATCTGAAAGTGATGATAAATTAGGGCGGATTACTTACTTGGACCTGTATGCAAAGATTTAGGGATATACAGAGTACTTGGGGAATATAGGGTTTTGATTGGCGGGAATTTAGTGAGGGTTAAAATGGAAATATAGTTATTAATTCCCGCCTATGAATTTGGAAATAAAAACAGGATGTTAGAATGCTATGAGGTGTTTGATGGAATGCCGAAGAGGGATTTGATTTCTCAAAAGGAAAAGAAGAAAGGTGGTTAAAAAATAAAGGGTGAGTTATAGAAAATTTCACCCTACGATTTTGGAATAATATTTTTGATTATGAATTCTGCAAATTTTGATTCCGTTTTGTTGGCTCTTTGAATCGGAATTTAAATATATCATTGTTCTAAAAATCGGCCGCGACGGCCGATTAATCGGTCTCTAAGACGGAGACGGTCCCAAACCTGTACGATTTTGGTGTAAAAGTTTGAAAATTGAGTCTTGGCATGTGAGGCGGTCAAACCTTGAAGACGGTCAAACTTTGGTGGCTAAAGTTGGTAAGAAATCGGCAAAAAATCGGGGTTTTTTTTTTACTTTTTTAATTCAAAATAAAAGTTGAGACTTTAATGAAAAAAAAAAAGTAAAAAAATATGAATTTGTGATTTATTTTGTTTATATTAACTGTTAAAGAACCTAATGACATATGTTTAAAATGTTCAAGAATAAATTTAAAGTAAAAAAAATTGCCTTTTCATTTATATTATAAGGACTAGCAATTTTTTCCCGTGCGATGCACGGAATCGTATTTTAAAAGTAATAAAAAAAATAATCAATTTAATGCATGATAAAAAAAGTATACTAACATCGTAAAATAGAAGAAAGTAGTACAATTCATATTTATATAACATTAGTTTTTTAACGTAGTAAAATTTATAATCCAAACAAATATGTTAAGATTTAATAAATCAAATTTCTATCTTTATCTCTTAAAATTTGAGATATATTGTATTGATGAAAAAAGGAGATTGAAGCCCGAAGGATTCTTCACAGTTAAGTGTCAATTTTGATAATTGTTGAAAATTTTAATTATAAAATTAGTAAAAAAAATATTAAAGATAAATAATTACATAAATGCCATTAGGGTTTTTTAGGGTTGCCCAGCGTTTATTTCTTTTATATATAAGATGTCTATTGTATTATGATCTTGTTATTATTAAACTTTTATTATGTTATATATATATATATATATATATATATATATATATATATATATATATGATGGATATATAACGATATTTAAATATTTTTTTATATATGTTTTGAGTATTTATAAATAATATCTAGAACTATATTATTTTAAATTGTAAAAACCGATTTATTTCCGATTTATCGCCGATTAATCACCGCCGCACCGATTAATCGTGAGTCGGTGCCTCACCGCCTCCGACCCAATTACCACTTTTTACAACCTTGAAATATATAAGATTTCGATTTTCAATCCAATTTCAATTTATGAAAATAGTTTTGGAAATTCTGATTTGTTTCCCGAAAAATTACACTATAATATAATGATCCGTCCTGAAACCGCTATTCACGTTGCAAGTCACTCCACAGCTACCATAGAAGCGAAAACTTCAACTTGTTGAATGTACTCGTTCAGTCAAAAAAGGAAAGCCGAACTGAAGACGGAGTTAGCACTCCGACTGTCCAGTCACTAGAAGGCACTAAACAGACTGACCAACTTATGAGTCTCTAAAAACTTACCTCCTTCAGGAAAGGGGAAACTCCCATTTATAATACATCGATCCAACCATACCAATCCCTGAAAATGGGAGCGCACGTATACCTACAGCCGCCCCCGTCATCCCCTTTTTAGGTCTTCGGGTAATTCAAGCCATCATTGCCATCTAATCAGTCATCGCCTCCTCGCATAATTCCTAAGCGGGTAGCCTTTTTGCACATTCCCCTGTATTCTCTTTTTCCGATTTTCACCTGTCATTCGAGCAATAAATATTGATGTCAGTGCATTTAATGCGCCGGTGTGTGTGCGAAACGAGCTAGCTAGAGTCATTTAAGGCACCCCACCGTACTTGTCAAAGTCACAAACGCTTTTAGACAGAGCCATCGTGGCGTTTCCTCGAGAACCATATGCCCGCTCGGTCCTTGCCAACTCGTCCCTTTTGCTCGGTCACATCGACGAGGAGGGGTCTTTGGCGTGGGCTATTTTTTAGGCCGCCACACCTTAGTGGCCCTTGGTGGCTCTGTCTTTTGAGCCAAGCCTTTGGGTGGGCCTTAGCGGACCTCGTAAAAATAATCTTGATGTGACTTGTCCCATATCAATGGTGCAAGATTACCCTGTGCATTTTACAAGGTTGTAGCATCTACAAAACCGGCCAACACTTTCATCTTTCTCATTTTTCTACGGTTCTCTATAACCCCATCAAATTACATTAAACAAGGCCCCTTTTGATTTTGATAATGGAATTGGATGATATTAAGATTAACCAAATGTGATTGTATGATTGAGGATTAAATAATACATTTTTATAAACCAATTAGCACTTAGAATTTGTTATATTGTGGTTCGAGGTGTAAATGAGCTGAGCGAGATCGACAAAAGCATTTTACAGACAAACTTCGACTAACCAACGTAATGCAGTATATGTGCTCCATTAAGAAATCATACACATCGAAATTAAATATCCAAAACTCATACTCTATAAGGACTCCTCCTCAAACTATGGGCGCCAAGTGGAACCTAATATACCCCGTTTTTGCAATCTTGTACTCAACCATCAAAGGAAGCTCCGTACAAAAGCTTAGGGTTACTGTATTCGACAACGGAGTGGCCTCCGTGAATTTGCACAAATACGAAAGAGGGAAGGTCAAAGACACCGTCTTTTTCATTTGGATTTCAGTTACATCTTCTAGCTGCATATGACCCAAAAAAAAAAAAGAAAAAAAAAAGAAAGATGAAATATCACAAATGCGCCTATAGAAAAGGAGTCGAGAGTTCAAAGGCAAGGGGAAATCGAATCAACCTTGTCCACAGCGAAATTTTGTTTGCACAAGACAGTTTTAGTTCCTAAACCGCCACTTGTTGAGAACGTTACTCCTTCCTTCGTGACGGCGATCACAACTGCAAGCCATAATGGTAAATCTCACATGGTTATTCCACGGTTTTTAATCTTAAGGTGGTGTTTGCAAAAGCTTATTTAAAAGCAGAAGTTAGTGATTGTGAGTTAAGTTGGAATTAAGTGATTATTTCTAAAAGTTGGGGGTGTTTACAAATTAGCTGGAAAGTCAACTAAAATAGAAAAAACAGGTACATGGGTGCTTTTAAAATTATAGCTTATTTTAAGAGAAGCAAAAACAAAAGCTTGTTTTACAAACACCTAAAAACAGAAAAAACAGATTATGTGCAAAAAAAAAACTCATAATCTATTTCTAAAATCATTTGCAAACACCACCTAATTAAATAATGGCTAAAATTCACAAAAGCTATAAGTAATTAATTACCTTTAATACCTACATTGTCGAGATCCCTACATATTTTTCGAAATTTCAACGACGACATTTCGACTGTGGCATGATACTCGATTTCCGGTAGTGTATTATGCTCACCGGGAATATCCACAAGCTTCATCTTAGAAGTAGTTACCATATCTCGAGCTGCGATAGATAAAACAACATCGACCGGCACAAACGGGGATTGCATATAAAATCGAGACCTTAATTAGTTTTAAATGACAGATTAATACAACGGACTAAATACCGGGATTTTCGAACACGATGGTTAAGTAGTTTCTGTCATCGTCTTCTACCTTGAGGGTGATGACGTCATCGTCTCCGGCGCACTCCAAAAGATCCGACATTTTTTCCAAGTTCACTCCGATGGAGATTTCGCGGTCGCAGCGGTAATAGTGGAAGCGCTCCTGCGGGAGGAGCAGCTCCACCATGGCGGCTCTGTTCGAGTCCATTGTCTGCAGGCGCAATCCGGTGGCGGAGAAATCGAAATTGGCGGCGTCCACAAAATCTTTAATCGCTTCTACCACCTTCTTCAACAGATTACCCCGCCTCAGCTCCAACATTTTTCAGTGAGGTTTTTGTTTGATAAAATTTGGGGGTGATTTTGGGGTTGTAAGCGGATATTTAATTTGGGGATTTACAGAGTGACGGGGAATCTAGGGTTTTTATTGGCGGGAATTTGATTTTGACTTGAGTTGTATGCGAAGGAATTCTCATCACGGTTCAAATTGACACGTAGATAAGAATAGGGCAAATTGCACTTCATCCCTAGAAATATCCAATTTTTGCACTTTCGGACCTCAAAATTCATAAAAGCAAGTGCATATCCCGGTAACTATTTATAAAAGCGAGTGCATACACGATGATTACTCAAACAACAAAAAAACTTATAAATATTGCAAAAGAAATATGAAGTATATGCCACTACCAGTACTGATACCAATGTTGATACCAATGCCGATACCAATATTGATACCAATAGTGATATTAATCGATTAATACTGATACTCATATTAATACAAATACTAATACTAATAATACTAATACTAATATTAATACTAATATTAATAGTAATACTAATACTAATACTAATACTAATACTAATACTAATACTAATACTATACTAATACTAATACTAATACTAATACTAATACTAATATTAATACTAATACTGATACTGATACTGATACTAATACTAATACTAATACAAATACTAATACTAATACTAATACTAATACTAATACTAATACTAATACTAATACTAATACTAATACTAATACTAATACCAATACTAATACTAATAGTGATATTAATACTAGTATTCGTACTAATACTAATATTAATACTAATAATAATACTAATACTAATACCAATACTAATACTAATACTAATACTAATACTAATACTAATACTAATACTAATACTAATACTAATACTAATACTAATACTAATACTAATACTAATACTAATACTAATACTAATACTAATACTAATACTAATACTAATATTAAAACGTAATATTAATACTAACATTAAAATTAATACTAATATTAATACTAATACTAATACTAATACTAATACTAATACTAATACTAATACTAATACAAATATTAATACTACTACTGATACTCATAATAATACTGATACTAATACTAATACCCATACTCGTACCAATACTAATACTAATACTAATAATAAAACTAATACTAATACTAATATTCATATTGATACTAATACTAATACTAAGAATAAGACTAATATTGATACTAATATTACTAAAAATATTGATACTTATATTGATAAATATAGTGATATTGATACTAATACTAATACTAATACTAATGTTAATACTAATACTAATGTTAATACTAATAGTGCTACTAATACTAATATTGGTACTAATACTGGTACTAATACTAATATTAATACTAATACTAATAATAATATTAATACTAATATCGATACTAATACTGATACTAATACAAATATTAATACTAATACTGATACTAATAATAATACTGATACTAATACTAATACTCGTACTCGTACCAATACCAATACTAATACTAATAATAAAACTAATACTAATCCTCGTATTCATATTGATACAAATACTAATAATAATAATAATGATATTGATACTTACATTGATAATTATAGTTATATTGATACTAATACTAATACTAATACTAATACTAATACTAATACTAATACTAATACTAATACTAATACTAATACTAATACTAATACTAATACTAATACTAATACTAATACTAATACTAATACTAATACTAATACTAATACTAATACTAATACTAATACTAATACTAATACTAATACTAATACTAATACTATTACTAATACTAATACTAATACTAATACTAATACTAATACTAATACTAATACTAATACTAATATTAATACTGATATTGGTACTAATACTAATACTGATACTAATACTAATACTAATACCGGTACTAATGCTAATATTAATACTAATACTAATACTGATACTAATACTAATACTAATACTCATACTCATACTCATACTCATACTCATACTCATACTCATACTCATACTCATACTCATACCAATACTAATACTAATACTAACAATAATAGTAATACTAATACTAATATCCATATTGATACTAATACTAATACTAAGAATAATACTAATATTGATACTAATACTGATAATAATACTGATACTTACATTGATAATGATAGTTATATTGATACTAATACTAATACTAATACTAATACCAATATTAATACTAACACTAAGAATAAGACTAATACTGATACTAATACTAATACTAATAATAATACTGATACTTGTAGTGATACTAATAGTGATATTGATACTAATAATAATACTAATAGTAATACTAATACTAATATTAAGACTAATACTGATACTAATAACAATAATAATTTTGATATTGATACTAATACTTATACTCATACTGATACTCATAGTAATATAATATTAATACTAATATTAATATTGATACTGATATTGACACTAATACTGATACTCATAGCAATATTAATATTAATACTAATTCTAATACTAATATTGATATTGATACTGATACTAATACTGATACTCATACTGATACTCCTAGTAATAATAATACTAATATTGATACCCATACTGATACTCATACTAATAGTGATACTCATACTAATATTGATACTCATACTCATACTGATACTCATACTAATACATACTGATATTAATATTGATATTGATACTGATACTAATACTGACACTGATAGTTATACAAATATCGATACTAATATTGATACTAATATTGATACTAATATTGATACTAATACTGATACTGATACGGATACGAAAACTGAAACTGAAACTGATACTGATACTGATAATGATACTGATAATGATAATGATACTGATACTGATACTGATACCGATACCGATGCCGATGCCGATACCGATATTGATGCCGATACTAATCCCAATGCCGATAATGATACTGATACTGATATTGATATTGATATTGATACTGATACTGATATTGATATTGATACTGATATTTAGACTAATATTAATATTAATGTTAATACTAATATTAATACTAATACTAAGACTAATATTAATACTAATATTAATATTGATATTAATACTAATACTATTACTAATCCTAATATTAATATGAATACTAATACTAATATGTTAATATTGTTAATGTTAATGCCAATGTTCATATTATAATGTTAATACTAATTTTAATGTTAATGTTAATGTGGTATATGCTTATGCTGATTATAATTGTAATACCAATATTACCCAAATCCTTATCCTATTCCTAATCCTATTCATAACACTAATCATGATTCTAATTCTAATCATAATTCTAATCAGAAACCTATTTCTAACAGTAATTATAATCCTAATAATTTTACTACTAATAATACTATGCTAATATTAATTATAATTATAATTCTAACCATAGTCCTAATCCTAATGCTAATCATAATCATAATAATAATAATACATGTCACTAATTGTAGTACGAATCAATAATCATGATCTTAATTATAACTCTAATACTAATATTAATCATAATCATAATCATAATATTAATTATAATACTATATTAATAGTATTTGAGAAATTACTGGCTCCGACAATTAAAAAAAAGCTGGTTTTTAAGAAAAAACAAAATTTCAAAAAAAAAAAAGTCAATTGACAGTTAAATTACTGGCTCCGACAGTTATTTATCCGATAATTAAATAACTGCTTGAGACATAATTTAGCAGCCAAGACAGTAATATTAAGTAAAATATTTAAAAAAAAAAAAATTAAAAAAAAAAAAAAAAAAGTCAACGCCGGAGACCGGCGATCTCCGGTGGTCAACGACGGCTGATCGGTGGTGACGGGTCAAAATTGAGGTTAAAATTGATTAATTGGTAAAATTAGGCTATATTGGTGTGTAAATTATAAAATTGAAGTTGAATTGAGTTTCAATAAATTGAGGATAATTTTGGTATATATAAAAGGGTTTTTCTTAATTGAATGAACTGGAAATATTTAAAATATAAAAAAATTAGATGTCCCTTTTTTAATCAAGTGTTAACTCTATAATATAATACGCAGAGAAGCTTTTAGAGTACAACAGAGGAAACCAGGAAACCTCATTCGCTGTTAATTGTTATAGCATTCGGAAAAAAAAATAAAAAAAATTAAAGGGACTAGTTATGCAATTTGATGGAATATAGAATAGAGAAGATACTCAAAGATCAATATAAAACTCTTTCGAGGTTTCCATATACGATTTAGATATATTTCCGTGAAAAATAGGTTCTCTTTCACGCGGCTGATATTTGTTTTCTCTCTCTTGGACAACTTTCGACGCTTTACTTTGCGCAGGCAAGATATCACGCACGAGTCTTATACGAATTTTCAGTGTTCTGTCAAGTTACAAATTTGATTATTAGTTTGTTGATTAATTGTGTCTGGCAAATTAAGGTTAGTTTTCGAACGAATAATTCCGACGTAGGCTGGCGGACAATCATAATTAAATTTATGGACGCCGGAGTGCTCGAATTTTTGAGAAACCTTCAAAACGAGTATTTGAAAGGAGACCGGAATAGGGTTAACAGTCGGAATACTTTGAAAACAACGAGTCCGCATTCGTCGGAATTCCCTACTGAAACCGGGGAAATCGATTACGATGATGACGACCATCACGTGGCCGAACGAACTATAATATCTTCTCGTTGGGCGAACGATGCCGACCGCCAAACTAACGAAGCTGATGAAGATAAGCAGAAGTTGAACAGGAAGACCGGTTCCGAGTTGGCTCAAGTAACAGGATGTAGGAACTCAGTGAGTCCTCCACCCGACGACATGGAACTTGTGGATGATCGTGATTCTCGCGTCGATATGCTTCAGTGTTGCAGAAGTGTTCATGAGTTCGAGAAACGCGGCAAGATAAACGAAGGAACCTATGGGGTTGTGTATAGAGCCAAGGATAGCAAGACCGGAGAAATCGTTGCGTTGAAGAAAGTCAAGATGAAGAATGAGAACGAAAAGTTTCCTCTGACTTCACTCCGGGAAATAAATATCCTTCGATCGTTACGTAACCCCTACATTGTCGATTTCAAGGAAGTAGTCGTGGACGGCGATATTGATGATGGCGTTTTCGATGTTTACATGGTCATGGAGTACATGGATCACGATCTCAAAGGATTGATGGAGAAAACGGGATATCCGTTTAGTCAGAGTGAAGTTAAATGTCTCATGCTTCAGCTCTTAGAGGGGGTCAAGTATGTTCACGAAAACTGGATACTGCATCGAGATCTCAAAACCTCGAATTTGCTTTTAAATAAATGCGGCGAGTTGAAGATATGCGACTTCGGTTTGTCTCGTCAATACGGGAACCCTCTGAAACCATATAGCGACTGGGTGGTTACTCTGCCGTACAGGTGAGCATCTCTCCATTCACATGTTTATTACTTACTGTTAAACCTCTATAAACTGAATACAGTCGGGACTAGAGAAATTCTATTAATTTAGCGAAATATTAAAAATTATCGTGTTAATAAATTAGCACGTTCTTAATTACCCCGAGTTGGGACTGGAAAAAAAATATTATTTAAGCGAGGTTATAAATGCTGAATAGTACATCGTATCTCAGGTCGCCGGAACTTCTTTTGGAAGCTAACGAATATTCTACAGCAATCGATATGTGGTCGGTTGGGTGCATTATGGCCGAGCTTTTATTAAAAAGACCATTATTTAACGGGACATCAGAGATTAATCAGCTTCACAAGGTGAATTTCGTCGTTTAATTATGCTGCAAATATTTGATGATTTTAAGACAATCAATTCGCAAGTATTTGGTCTAAATTAATTTACTGTTTATGGTTATGCTGCAGATCTTCAGGATTCTCGGCACTCCAAACGAAACAATCTGGCCCGGGTTTTCTAAACTCCCTGGTGCCAAGGCGAAGTTCGTCGAGCATAAGTAAGTAATCGGTATCTTTTTATTTTTAATTATTACAAAATTACCCTCAAAATTAATGTTGGCTTGTTTTGCCAATGTTTTATCAGGCGTGCAGCTTTCCGGTGATTCCGGTCTGGTGTTTCTTGCCTCATATCCATCGACGAAAGTGTCGGTTTTCCTAAGACATTTTGTTTGCTTCTAATGAGTGCAATTTTTTTTTTTTTTAATTTAGGTACAACCAATTGCGCAAGATATTTCAAGCACACGTACTATCGGACGGTGGACTCGACTTGTTGAACAAGCTTCTAACGTATGACCCCGAGAAGGTATATTTCTATAGACATTCGTCTCTATGTATTTATTTCATTGCTTAAATTGATTGGAATTTTGCTCTGGCTATAGATCAAGTATGTAACTGAGTAAATTTGGAAACTTTGCAGCGGATAACTGCCGAAGCGGCTCTCGTACATGAATGGTTCCGCGAAATTCCGTTACCTAAGTCTAAGGAATTCATGCCTACTTTTCCTGCTCGGCATGAACAAGATAGGTAAATACAATTGTCTTGGGAAAACGAAACGAGTTTTTCGGAACATATGGTTTTTAGGGTTGTTTATCATGTTAATTTAGTTCAACGATTTCTTTTTCGTTTTTGTTTTTCATACTTACCTTTGATTCAATAAATATTTTACTCGAGAACACATACGAATGTTGTCGGCAATTAAAGAGTTTAGTCGTCTGAAAATTAAGAGATGTATTTTATGCGAGCGTTTGTTGATGTATAGAAGCAGTTAGAACTTCAAAAAGTCGTTGCCGTGATCACCCTTGAAGGTAAAAACGTAATTTTCTTCTTCGGCGCGCTCCAACATTTCAGACATATCTTTTAGGTTCAAAACGTCAAAGTTATGGACAGTGTTCATCGATTCACCGTGTAATAATATCGTAGACTCGTCACTATTAAAATAATCATTGTTGTCATTAACTTCTTTATATTATTGTTTTAATGTATATTCGGTCCCCAATGATAAAGTTCTAGTTTCGTCTGGTGGTGGGATGAAACAACATGTTCATGTAAAAGAGTCCAATGGGCTATGCCAAAACAATACAATTTTGCATCTCATATGCTTGCAACGTAATGTAGTATTTGTGCTACATTAAATAATCAGAGATACCTGGGAAGTAAATACTCAAAAGCCATACTTAATAAAGACTTCTCAAAATATGGGTGTTTAAAAAAAAAAAAAGAAAAAAAATAAGTGACGATGCCGTTAGCTATAATGTAACTCGATATTATTTGTGTTCGGTTATGGGTTCGGTTCTATTGCCAAGAACTTAAACAAACCATCTACAGATGCAGCATTAAAGTGAAAGTGTAGAAGAATACCAAAAATTGCAAAAATGAAAGCCATTTTCTATATAATCATAAGTATATAAAAACTACTATCCCTCTATTTCAGAATATATTCAATAACTAGTTGAATACAGGAACACGTAGCCAATCGTATAGGTGCACTGAGCAAACTTATACTCTTGTATAATAACTTGCAAATCATACGAGAGACATAAACTATACTAGGCTAACCATGTATGACAAGCTGGATCTAGCAACAGATGACAAAGAGATTCGAACCGCTAGATCATTCCTTATCGAACGGTTAGTTGCAGGCCCGACCCCTAGGCTATAAGCAACTTTGGTCTATGCCTAAGGCACCCAACTTATGAGTATTATAATTAGAGCTCCAAAAATTATATTTACTATTATTAGGGCCCCTAAATACAAAATAAAATTTATATTTTTTTATTTAAATAAATAATATTAATATATATAGCCTGAATTTTGTATAAATAATAATATAATAATTAATAATTTTAATACGTGTATTTAAACAAATAAAATTATCCAAACTATTTAATTTTATATTAAAAAAATTAATGCAAAGTGCCCCAAAATTATTTTTTTGCATAGGACCCCATATGGGCTTGAGCCGGCCCTAATTAGTTGGAGTTTCTGCATTTAAAGACGTTGACTTTTTGCGAAAAACCTTTCAAGAGTTCCTATGCATTTATACGCCTCCAGACGTGGAAAGGGGATAAATCCCTTTCATTAAAAGTTGACAAATTAGATTCCAATTCATTATACAAAACCATTGAAAGTGAAAAGATCAAGTAATAATAATAATTTATACCGACTTAGAATAGGTCAGCAAAACATGGTGGCAAGTCACCTTAAATTATGAAACTGATCACTACTGATCAATGATCATCCTCTCCCAAATTTAATTATCAAAAAACAAGAAAAAAATATTATCTCCCAAATTTCCCATCATGAATCTGCATCCACTTTTAAATGTTGTGCTATTTCTTTTCATTCTCATCAAACTCACTGCTTCCATTAGTAATCCAAGTCACTTCGCAGGCGATGTTTTGATTAATTGTGGTTCCAAAGGCACTTCATCTGCAGATAATGGCAGGGAATGGATTGGAGATGTACAACCGAAATCTTCTTCCGTACTACAAATGAAGGGCTCGTCAACCATCTCAACCGTCATCCCAAATTTGATCTCATCCGATCCAGTTCCCCACGAAACGGCAAGAATCTCCAAAACTCAGTTTTCCTATGAATTACATGTGAGCCCAGGTCAGAAAATTATCCGTCTTCACTTTAATCCCACTTCATATAAAGGCTTTAAAGGGCTCGACGACTTATTCACCGTTGAAACCGGTCCTTTTACTCTGCTCAGTAACTTCAGTGCTTCACTCACAGCTGAGTCTCTTAAGGTTTATTATTTCGCCAAGGAATTCTGTTTAAACATACAAGAGAATCAACGGCTAAACATGATTTTTTCTCCTGAAAGCGGTCGATCATCAGATACATATGCTTTCATAAATGGCATTGAGATTTTCTCGGTGCCTCCAAGTATTTCTTACTTTGAAGGAGGATATGTTGGGCTCCAACTGGTTGGTGAGAAGTATTTGGTTTACTTTGATTACAACACTGCACTTGAAATACTCCACCGAGTAGAGATTAAGCAAAACCCTGTTCAGTCTGATGGAAATTACGATCACATGTTTCCGAACCGGGCATCCCGAAATGCAAACAAAATAAACAATACCACATGGAAGATGCCGGTAGATGTGGGGTTCAAGTACTTGATCAGGGTTCACCTATCAGAGTTGGGGCTCAAGATTGCAGGAACTGGTGATAATATGTTTGAAGTCCTTATTAATGAAATGATTGCTCACACTAATATGGACGTAGTTAACCGAAGGGATGAAAATTCCATCCCATGGTATAGGGACTACATGGTGATGGTGAGTGGGAACAAAAATGAGGGCAAACGTGATATAATGGTTTCATTGAAGTCGCATGACGATCTTATAGGCGCTCATGCATTTTTTTCGGGATTTGAAATATTCAAGTTGAGCAACTCTGATAATAGTCTTGCTAGTCCAAATCCATTGCCTCTAACTCGGGAATCACCATCCCACACTGTTCAAACTTTATTCGTTCTTCTTTTTAATAGAAATGCAATTGCAACTGTCGCAATATCTATAATTTCTTTCTTATGTATCGTCGTTCATAAGTTGCTGAAAATTCAAGAAGCTAATACTGATGAGGAGGGAAACAAGCCAAAGCCATCGGTGAGGGCTGAACGTCTTTGTCGCATTTTTTCACTAGATGAGATACAATTAGCCACTAAAAATTTCAGTGACACACTTGTAATTGGAAGGGGTGGATTTGGTAAAGTCTACAAAGGCCACATTGATAAAGAGCAAATCACAGTTGCTATAAAAAGGTTGAAATCAAGCTCCAAGCAAGGGGCCCACGAGTTCTTGACAGAGATCGAGACACTTTCTGAGCTCCGACATGTGAACCTAGTTTCTCTAATTGGTTACTGCAACGAGCAACGAGAAATGATTCTTGTTTATGAATACATGCCATGTGGAACATTGGCTGATCATATTTACAAACTTGAAAGGGAAAATAATACACGTTCTTCTCTCACATGGAAACAATTCCTTGATATTTGCATGGGAGCTGGTCGAGGACTAGATTACCTTCACACAGGCCATGGAGTCATACATAGAGATGTAAAAGCTTCAAATATCCTGCTTGATGAAAATTTCATAGCTAAGGTTTCTGATTTCGGATTGGCCAAGCTTGAAAACAAAAGAAAGCTAGAGACCCACATTACCACGAACGTTAAAGGCACATTTGGGTACCTCGATCCAAATTACTACCGCACTCATAAATTGACCAGAAAAAGTGATACATACGCATTTGGAGTAGTGTTGCTGGAAGTGTTGTGTAGGAGGCCCGCAGTAGATTTGATGGTTCCACAGGACGAGCGAGTTTTGTCCGTGTGGGCACGAGATAAGATAAACAAGGGAGAAGCTGATCAAATCGTATCAATTAGTATGAGAGGGGAGATTTCGCCAAATTGCCTCAAGACATTTGTTGGAGTTGCCCAAAGATGCTTATCTGATGAACCGAAGAACCGGCCAACAATGTGCCAAGTTGTGTCACAACTTGAGTTGGCTTTTGAGCAATCTTTGGAAATAGCAACAACTATTTCTAATGAATCATCAGTTCGGACGGGGCAACCAATAGTTTTCTCTACAGCTGTGCAGAATTTCCCCCTTCATCCGAATGAACAAACTAATAGCAATGTGGTTATTGCTCAGCTTCCACATGATGATAAAGATGACTCATTAGTTCAGACGAGGCAACCAACAATTTTCTCTACAGCTGTGCAGAATTTCACCCTTCCTCCGAATGAACAAACTAATAGCAATGTGGTTATTGCTCAGCTTCCACATGATGATAAAGATGGCTCATCGGTTCAGACAGGGCAGCCAACAGTTTTCTCTACTGCTGTGCAAAATTTCACCCTTTCTTCGAATGAACAAACAAATAGCAATGTGGTTACTGCTCAGTTTCCACATGATGATAAAGATGGCTCATCAATTCAGACAAGACAACCGACATTTTGCTCTACAGCTGTGGCATAATTTCATCCCTCATCCGAATGAACAAACTAATGGCAACGTGGTTATTGCTCAGCTTCCACTCAAGGAAAATGAATCGCCATCATTATCAGGTAGAAATTCGATAAATAGTTAAAAATCAAACCTTGACTATTCATATCTATCTTGATTTTCAAACTTGTCATGGTCTTACTTTAATGTGCCTTGTGATGTTACCTGAAATGTAAAACTAGCAGAGCTTGATTTGGGTACAAGTACACCTGCCACAAGTGAATCTTGTCCTGCATCGGGCTTATGTAGACGTTTCTCGTTGGAAGAGATCAAAACCGCCACAAACAACTTGGACAAAAATTTCCTCATCGACACAGGAGGATCCGACGACGTGTACAAAGGGTTCATCGAGGGCGGCGCCACCACCGTGGTCATCAAAAGACTGAATCCACGTCTCTCATATACCCGCGAGTTCCTAGATAAAATCGACATGGCGTCAAAGCTAAGGCACCTCCACGTGGTATCACCAATCGGCTACTGCAACGAGGGCGGAGAGATGTTTTTAGTCTACGATTACATGCCGCGTGGCAGCTTATACCACCATCTTTATATTACGAAGAATCCACCATTAACGTGGAAGCAACGTCTCCAGATTTGCATAGGTGCCGCCAGGGGATTGCATTACCTTGACACCAATTGCAATGAGTACCACAGCATACCCCACCTTGTCACTTTCAGAAAAATCCTATTGGATGAGAAATGGGTGGCCAAGGTCTTGCTAGCACCATCTAATAATTGGGGAAAAAAGTATAACGTGCACTTTTTAGGCTGGGTGTTGTTCCAAGTGTTATTCATCGATCCATTAGAGCTACGAGAGCGACTAGGATTCATCAAACTGGATGAGTCTTATCGTAGAGGGACACTTGAACAATATATTGATCCTGATCTGTACAGTCAAATTGCCCCTAAATGCTTGAGTAAATTCACCGAGACAGCTTTTGCATGCATAAATGTAACGGGAAGCGAGCAACTGGAAATGAGTGATGTCATTCGGAGCCTCGAGTTTGCGATGCAGTTGCAAGAAGAGGCGGAGCAAAGTGGCAACAGATAGGGGTGGGAGTTTCCCCTTCGTCTCTTCACAAATAATACAAATGTTGCCCATATCGAAATAATAGAAAGACTATGAAAAAATTCAGTTACAACTCTTCTTTCTGTGATACAACTCTTCTACTTTTTCTTTTTTCTCGTTTTTTTCAATTTATTTTTTATTTTTTGTATATACGACTCAAACTTTTCTATGGTTCATGCTGTCAGGAGATAATCATCCTAAAACATTAAAAAATAGGTTAATTTCACTTACCTCCCTTGTACTAAATAAAAATATTTACGTACTTCCTTTCCACTATTAAATTTTCCAATTGCTCCTTAAGTTATATGCTACACCAATTATACCATTTTCTTATCAGTCTTTTCAATTTTACAATAAAACATATTTTAATATTTATCTTTTATACTCATTTTTATTTATATTTATTTTTTGCTCGTTTTTGTTTTATGTTTACTCGTATTGAACATTTTAATCATATTCTTCATCTAATTGATATTTGTTCTAAAGATATATAAAATATAAAGTGTGACAAGAAATCAGAGTGAATAAGTTTTTATTTGATATTTTTTCGATTTACTTATTCGAAAATGTTTACATTAATATTTACCATTTAAATTTTACTATACACCTTAAAATTTAGGGACCCCTAAAATTTATTTCTAAGGATATAAATTTATCACGGTGTATTATTTTTAAATCTAACAATTAAATATTTAATAAATTATATCATAAAAAAATATAAAATGCCAACACTTGAATTTAATTAGATGAAAAAATTTAAAATTAGTTTATATGTTCAAGTTTCACATAAAAAAAATAAGTACATTTTAATTGTGGTTTCTTGATATATTTTACGTTTTAGAGAATCATTTTGGGGCTAGAAAAGAATATAATTTTCGACAAAATTACCCATAATTAACCCTTTTAACATACCAATTCATAATTTGAAACCCTAAATTAATCCTTATACTCAATAGTCAGTAGTTATTAACTTTGTTTTGACAATTACACTATATTTTTATCACTGTATTCTTAACTTGGACTTTAATTTTGTTGTTAGTGTTCTTGATTCTTTTTTGAAAACTTTTTTCTATTTGTAATTTTCTTCTTTGCATATTGAGAATCAGAGGAAACAACATAAAATGGGGAGGAGATTTTGGATGAGGATGAGGCTACTAACTGAAAAAAATAAACCGATATTGAAACCGAACACTAAACTAAAAACCAAAAACCGTTTGAAACGAACCAATATATGCAGTCCTTTGGTTCGCCAAAAGCCGAAACAGTTGGTTTCATGTTACGAATTTAGTCAAAAACAGAGCCGTACCCGTGCTCATCCCTAAAAAATATCAAACAACAAAAAGATCGATCTTGCAATTGCATTTGTGTAGATTATTTTAAATTCGAACGAGAAAAAGACACATCACTCATCCCGGTTCATACATTGTCTCACCTTCTTCAAAACTGCATTGTTTTTTCGTCATGCTATTCTTAAGAATATCAAGTGTCTCGTAAATCTTTACCGTACTCAAAGAAGACGAATCCCCCGAGTAAAAAACATCAACCTTATTTTTCACCTCGATCCAACTGCACCCGGGCACCTTCGTTAATCCCTTCTCTCTCATCACTCCCCTCAACTTTGCAGCCTTTTCTTTCATCCCCATTTCCACATACAAATTCAACAGTTGAATATAACCGCTCCCACTTTCAGGCTCGATTTTTATCAACTTATGTGCAGCCATTTCTCCAAGCTCAATATTTCGATGGACTCGACATGCAGACAGTAAAGAAACCCAAACCCCTTTGTCGGGTTCAATACCCATATTCTCGATAAATCGACACGCTTCGTCTAAGCGTCCGCTTCTGCCCAAGAGATCTATTATATTAACGTAGTGCTCGATTTTGGGCTCGACTCCGTTTTCTCTCATTGAACGAAATAGATTTAGGCCTTCTTGTACGAAACCAGAGTGATTGCATGAGGATATGAGTGAGAGGAAAGTTATCTCGTCTGGTGATACTCCCGAATTTCTCATCTCGTGGTAAAAGTCGATGGCTTTACGACATTCGCCGTGAGATCCATAACCGGCGATGATTGAATTCCACGCTACGAGGTCTCTTTCAGGAATGTTCCGGAAGATTCTTTGCGCGTACGTGAAGCTTCCGCACTTGATGTACATATCGAGTAACGCGTTTTCTACTTGATTTTCTTTTGGAAGTAGAAATCTTAAACTGTAACCATGTACGGTTTTTCCGATAGACAATGCTGCCATTTGTGAAACTGCAGAAAGAACGGTGGTTATTGATACTGAATCTGGATATATGCCGTTCTGCATCATCTGTGGGAGAAGAGTAATCGAAAGATTCGGGAGGGCATTTTGGGAATAACATGATATCAGAGAATTCCAAACAACGTTATTCTTTTGCAAGACACTGGAAAATGCTTTCATACCCATATCTGGTTGTCCGGCTTTCGAATAGAACTCGATTAACGTACTACCCGTGAAAGGATCCAAATCGAAACCTCTCTTAATTGCAAGTGCATGAATACAAAGACCTAGTTTTTCATCATCATTTCCAACACTAGCAATAATCGCACTTGCTATAATGTTGGAATCCGATTTCACACCATCGGATTCTGTTTTCTTGAATAAATATAACGCCTCCTCGAATTTCTTATTTTCGCAATTCCCTGATATCATGGAACCCCAAGCCACCACATCTTTTTCCTTCATTTCGTCGAACACTTTATGCGCGTCTTTTATACTCCCAACCCTTGAGTACATTGTCAACAGAGCACTTTGCAAGGCAACGCATTCTTTTATCGGTCTCTTTATCATGTTCCCGTGTATTTTTGTTCCTAAATAACTCGATCCAATCATACTGCATGCTGTCAAAGCATTTGATATGGTGAAAGAATCGGGTGTAATGTCTCTATATATCATCTGAGTGTAAATATTCACAGCATCATTTGGACAACCGCAGTTAACATAAGCCGAAATCAAACTATTCCACAGTCCAACGTGTTTATCTTTAGACGTAGAAAATACTCCCACCGCATCTCCAAGAATTCCACACTTCGAGTAAAACGTTACGAGCGAAGAGCTAGCATACTGGTCGTTCTCGAATCCAGTCTTGACCACATCACAGTGTAGCTGGCGGCCGAAATCCGTCGCCTCGCCCTGCGAACAAGCTGTTAACACACTCGAAAATGTAGTGGAACCGAACTCAAGGCCCTCGATTTTCGCTGAAGTGTACAAATCCAAGGCATTTCTCCAACACCCATTTTCACAAAAACCGTTGATCATTGCATTCCACACCGTAATGTTGCTCTTATTCCCGAACTTCCGAAAAACATTCCAAGCGTCCATTGGCCTAGCGTAATTCGAATACATGTCAATCATTGCAGTAATTAAAAACGGATCACCATCAAACATGTTTCTCAAAACATAACCATGAATTTCTTTCCCACACGAAATACCCAAAAAATCGTCGCATATCCCAAGAAAGATGCATAAAGTGTAACCATCGGGCTCGACATTCAAGACCTGCATTCGACGAAGCTGAACCAGACACTCGTCAAAGAACCCATTTTTGGAGTACCCATCAACGATAGAGTTCCACAGCGCGACGTCCTGGCCTGAAACTTCACATTGACGCATTTTATCAAACAGTTTGACTGCATTGCAGAGCGACCCACATTTCACGTACATCCGTACGAGTGAAGTGGCGATGTAAGGATCAAAATGGAGACCCGTTTTGACGATTGCGGAGTGCAGCGACGCGCCATAGTGGGAATTCGAAACGGCGGTGCAAGCTTTGATGAGAGAAGGGAAAGTGAACCTTGAAGTATTGTTTGGAGAATTGGATTCTTTGGAGTATGATTCGAGGGCTTCTTCATAGTGGCCCTGTTGTACTAAGGATTTGATTTTGTCGTTGATATGATGGGAAGAGAAGTGAACTTGTCTTGCAATCGAAGGAGTTCGAAATATTAAGAAAGCATTGGAACGCATTTCATGATCGTTTATGGGGGGAACCACATGTAGAATGCTTCTTTAGTTTCTTTTTTTTCTTTTTAAAGTAAAAATTTAAAAAATAAGTTGCCCCTAAATTAAGGGGAATTTTTATAAGTTTTTACCCGAACTTGTTAATTCGTTGCGCGATGCCCCTAAAAGGAATTTTCAATTTTATGGTAAATATTGGACCGAATATTAAATACGTGTTTTGCACGTGCGATTTATAGGGGTAATTTAGTCCCTTGACTTGCATTATATATATTAAATATAAATTATAATTAGAATAAAAAAAAGGTAAACTACACCCACACTCCTGAGGAATATTTAAATAACTTTAAGGTTCTTACGGTATCGATAATTACACTCACCTCTGAAACATAGTTAGAAACTTTTATGGGATAATGCATTGGATACGTTATTCCGATAAGGTTCTAACGGACTATTACTTTTAGCTAGTGGTGGAGACAACATAAAATTAGGGGGTGACATAGCTCCCCCAACATTTCTTAAATCATCCATAGCTCTTTGTTGCCTCTACCACTTCCTGAAACTAATAGTCGATTAGAACTCTATCGAAATAACGTATCAAACGCATTATCTCATTAGAGTTTCTCACTACGTTTCAGAAAAGTGAATGTAATTATCGATACCACAAAGACCTTAAAGTTATTTTAGTAAACCTCAAAAGTGTAGGTGTAGTTTACCCAAAAACATAAAAGAAACCTACCACCTTATTCTTCTTCTTCCTCTTTGCCCACCACCCTCCTAAACTCATCTCCTAGCCAAAATTATCATCTATAACCCATTTTCTTCTTCTTCCATAGTTTGACGGCCGTCCTCTAAATCCTCAAGCACTCAACTACTTGGGGAGCACCGTCCTCCACTTCCTCGCAACCCCCGACCACCACCGCACACCTCCGGCAAATCATCTCCTCTACCTACCTTCATTTCCGCTGTGGAAGAGGTGGGATTACTTGATAGGAGCAGCTAAAAACAAGACCATTTTTTTCTCACTTCAATACCACAAAATAAAAATTAGATAATATATACGTAATGACATAAATACCCTTGATGAAAATCAATACCACAAAAATATTAAAAATCTCATTTTTCTTTCTTCAATACCAAATACACAAAACCCCTCAAACCCTCTCCTTCACAAACCCCTCAACCTCCTCCTTCTTCTTCTTCCTCACAACAAACTTCCCAAAAGATCTTAAAACTAAAGAAATCAAAACCTCACACAACTTATAAAATGGAGTCAAATGACAACAAAATGGTAGTTTACGACCGAGGAAGACCCATTAGCGTATGTAGGGGTGTGAACGAGCCGAGCTCGACTGTTTTGGCCAGCTCGAGTCCATGTTGCCGAGCTCGAGCTAGATCATCGAGTAATTTTTTTTTGGCTCGAGCTCGGTCTCATTTTTTTTTTTTTTATTAAAGTCATTTAATATTTTATTAGAAATTATTTATAGGAAAATAAAAAAAATTATAACATAAATAATAAACTCTAGTTATAATTTTTTATATGATTATTATAATATTTTATATTATTATGAGTTATCTAAATAATATAGATTTGTTTATATTTAAATACTAGAAATATTTAACATTATAGACTATTTACAATTTAGTTAATAATAATAATACTACGAATAATATATATATATATATATATATATATATATATATATATATATATATATATATATATATGTATATTATAATATATGATCCGGCCAGGGCCACCCAGACGGCCCAATAAGGAGCAAAGGCTCATCAAGGTGGCTCTAGCCCGTTACCGTTTGCCGGATCCAGTAAAGACCAAAGGCCCAAGCAAGGTCAAAGGGCACCATTAAGCCCACTAAGAGAAGAAGGTCCATTAAACTGGTGTGCTCGTTAGGCGAGAGGGACCAAGCAGCGGGTCGCGAGTAACCCGCGAGAGAGAGAGGCCTCTCGCTGACTCACCCTCCCGCCAAGCTTCTCGCCAGACCAGCCCGGAGATGATTCTAGCTGCACATGGAGGCATTTAATGCACGTCCAATCCACTGACAGACGCAGAGGAATGTCGTTTCGGCCCCCTACTTTTTGCACATGCAGCCGCCAATGAAATGACATATTAAACTGCATTGAAGGTAATTTGGGGTCCGAATGCCTAAATTACCGCGATTGGACAGGTAAATTAAATTGAAGAATATTTGACGTCCGTCCCCTTTTTTAGTATAAATAGGGGCAATAAATACAGGAAAACCACAACGAAATCATATACATCAATTACATACAGAAGCATAATATCTTCTTCTGGAAGTTACTGACTTGGCCGTCGGAGTGCTAACTCCGGCCTAAGTCCGGTTCTTTTCTTTCTTGTAGGTTTATCGTGGGCTCCGGTCCAAGTTCAGGCCTACTCAACTTTCTAAACCAGCCCACCACGAATCCAGCCGGATCAAATGGCGCCGTCTGTGGGAAATTGAGCGTTAAGACGTCGATTTTTCAACTACTTCTACTGTAAGCAAAACACCTGTGGGAGTGGATGTTAGTGAATCGAGGGAGATTTCTTGGGCTTTCCTTAAAATCCACTGCATCACCATATTTGTTTTACTTGTGCGATTTCAATACATATGAGGCAGACATGGGTACATAAACCGACCCAAAACCTCAATCAGAGATGTTGGATCTGGAGGACTCCTTAGAGCTCGAAGTTGATTTGCTTTAATGAGCTTGATTCATGGGAGTTTGATTTCCTAAATATATTTTTTGGCTTGAAGCTTTTCAAGCACGCAGTATTCTCTCAAAATGAATTCCGGAAGTTTATATTTATTGCTTGGAGCTCAATTGTCTGATTCTGGCCCAGGTTTTGCCGACTCAATGTCTGCCGAGCTGAAATTCACCGATCCAATGTTCGTCGAGCTGAGTCTCGCGACCCAATGTCCGTCGAGCTGAGTCTCGCGACCCGATGTTCCTGATCTGAATTTCGCCGACTCAATGCCCGTCGAGCTGAGTCTCGCGACCCAATGTCCGTCGGGCTGAATTTCGCCGACTCAATGTCTGCCGAGCTGAAATTCACCGATCCAATGTTCGTCGAGCTGACACTCGCGACCCAATGTCCGCCGAGCTAAAATTCACCG